ATTCATTGGTATTCATTCATTCTCTATTGTGTCTACCCCCTAGAATAAATGTCAATAAAATTATACATTTTATCAAATGTTGCAACATCATCTTTCGTTAGCTCATTCGAATTTGTAAATGTTTTAATAGCATCTTCTTTCTAATCTTCGATTGTATATTGAAATAGCACTCTATTTTTGATAAAACAATAGAAGTGATTGTTGTTGTTATAAAATACTTACGTTGGTGCAATAATTATAACAATCACTTTTATTGTTCTATCAAAAATAGCGTGCTATTTCTTTTCATTTCAAATGAATATTCAGCCCAATATATTGTCTGAAAATAATTTCAACAAATTGTACATTTATATATAGCCAAGACGATCTAAGCCAACGAACATATCCATCGCTCGTTTGTTGTACGCTGCTTTGGAATCCTTTGAAAAATGGAAAACAAAACAGTCAGAGTCTTCCACCTTTTTGATTGATTCTTCATCTGCGCAAAATTGATTGAATAGTAATGACCCAACGAATACACTGTAAACTCCAAACTTTTGTAATTGATCTAATAAAGCTTCGTATGGAAATAGTTTTTGTGGATCGGAGCCCAATCTAGAAAAAATGAGATAAAATTTTAAAATGTTTCTATGTATTGAAATTGTATTCGACGTTCGATCCATTGTTAATATAGTAGAAATATTATTGTTTACCTTCTCAACAGATCCGAGAGGCTATCATGATAAATGTGCAAGAACTCCTCGTAATGTTGATCACGCAACTCCTTGGTAATCGTACAGAACAAGTACAAAAGTAAATCAATAACTGGCGAAGCGTATCGAGTGAATTGGAAATCAAATATCTTCACTTTGTTTGGTTTGCCTTCGTCATCTTTACTGAACATTGTATTATTGCTTGTAACATCACCGTGGCAAATAACCGCATATGGTTCGGCTGCTTGGCTTGAAGCCAAACACATAATGGTTGAATAATAATCATCTCCTACAGATTTTTTGATTTTTTCGAATAAATCAAAGCATTTTTCTTCCTTTAATACCTCAAAACATTTTTCAAATTCAGTTATCATATCGTGTGACTGTGTCCAGAATTGTTCGATTGCAAGGCTGGCCAATTGCTTAAATTTTTCTGGTTGTTGGTCTTTTAACGCAAACGAAATTGCATGGAACTTTCCGAGTGCCTTCAACACGGCGGACATGTGATCAAATGTGATTGTCTCTTTGCGAACATTGACCATTTCAAAGTTTCGTATTCTTAAATCTTCAAGAAAAACAGATTCGAAAAGATCTTCACTTATACTGGAATAGTATTGTGGAAACTCATTAAAACCATCTTTCTCTAGATCAACCCCTTGGGATAATTGGAATTCATTGAAATATACCAACACCTACAAAATATCATACAAGTATATACATTTTTGCGTTGTGTGTTTTTGTATTTGAAATGAAATCTACCTTATCATACATATCTATTTCGCGCAAAAACATCTGACGCAATGCAAATTCACCTCGTCGTTTCAAATTTTTCGGTGCAATTTTTAGAATCAACGACGATTGATTATGATTTTCATCTTCATATAGAATTCGATATACATTTCCCATGAAGTTTGCGCCTTCGATTTGAAATAATAATTGTTAGTTTGTTTCAATCTCAAAAGAGCAATAAAATAAACCTTTTTTCTTACACCAATAATCCAATACACCAACAAACTTACCTTTTTTCGAGCCAAATTCAATGGAAAATTTGAAATTATTTGAATTGGAGCGTTTTTTTAGAACTTTAATAAGTTCATTTTCGATGGGTTTTTCCAAAATTTCACTTATTGCCAAGTCATCTCCGATTAGATTATTCGACGCCATCTAAATATAATCAGTTAATATATGAAATGAAAGTGTAAACAATATAGATTATAAAGTCAAAAACAAATGTGAACTAGATTCCCACTCGATTCGCAATTCTTGAATGTGAAAAAAGTGATTTCCCAAAGAAACAATTGTCTTAAGTCACCTTGAATTTATACTGCTTTTTTATTTCTATAATTTGAACGTTAATTTAAAAGATTTAAATTTACTTCAAATTATATACCATTTCTTACATTGAAAGTATTCACTCCACAGAAAATATTTAAAAAATACAAAAAATCCAACATCAGCTTACAAAAAATTACCTTTGAGAATCTTTATGGTGAAAACTAGAGTGCCACGTCCGTATAAGTGATCAGCTTATTAATATAAGTTTTTATCTGCAACTCGTTCAACTGCAATGTTATCTATCATTTTTTGTGTGATTTTAACATATTTATCAGTAGAAATCAAAGCAGTGCCTAAGAAAAAAGATTACAATTATCTTCTTACTTTTCCGCACACACCGAGTGTGTAAGGGGAAAGTATTGCAGTGGGTCAAAATTTACGACACCTCAAAAACATGTTTTCTGGACGTTTCTGAGGTCAGAAAACCCGAATCAGGCCGTTTTGAGCATGGTTGTTGTGGGTCTGTTCCACGTCGTACGTTGTCCGCCATTATAATTTGTCCATCGATTATCTCACCCCCCAGAAAAGTTATTTAAAATCTGACTTCACGGGATGATTGGGGGTCCCGAGAAATAGAAATCATTAGATTTTGAGCGATTTTAGTTGATGGAAAAAAATGTCATGCCTGGAGTGATACCAATGAAAAAGAGTCCAATTTTCGTCCAAAAGTCATACTTAATGTAGACCTAAACACTCAAAAATATGTATTCATTTTCATTTTTGTATGGGAGGTACTCTTAATTTTGGTTGAAATTTCTCCAAACATATTTTTTATAGTGTTTTGTTAGAAAAAAGAATACTTTCAAATGAATCGTTGCGGTGAAAAAGTAGCTCTTATTTTTCTCCAAATAATACTGCAACATAAAGTTTTTTATGAATAGTTTATTTGTTGTATTACAACAAATAAACCGTGTGAAAAAACTTCATTTTGCAGTATTATTTGGAGAAAAATAAGAGCTACTGTTTCGCCGCAACGATTCAAATGTCGTACAAATGGGTTCATCATGAAAGTGTGAAAAATCTTTTCTCGGGTACTTCTGCTATTAAATTAAAGAATATTTCGTTGCCAAAGCTGAAACATATTTTTTGGTCTCGAACTTTACGCCACTTGAAAGGCTTGAAAAATCGAACAAATATTATTTTGAACTTTCTTAATAAAATACGCAACTACCACCGTGCCGAAAAGTTCGTCTTACTCCCGTAAGACTCTTTATTTTTGATGATTATTCCCTGTGTTTTACTATAAGTAAAAAACACTAGGGGAAAATATCGAATAAAATAAGTTACGAATATGCTGCGTATAAGAATATAAACCGTATATACCGAAGAATATTTGCAAATAATATTTGCAATTAACTCCGTATATATATGGTTTATACGCATATATGCAGCGTATATGCGGCATGTCTTCATCTATTTATATTATATTAGGTAAAAAATACTTGAGTATAAACCGTATAAACGTATAGATAATTCCCGCTAGAAAAAACACTTCTTTGGGAAGACGCAATACTGCACATCAGGTCTGAAATAAATTTTCATTGACGCTTGCAATCAATGATATTTTCATTTTTATTTTTCTAAGAAATGTCTCGGAAAAAAATGCGGACAGACAAACAAACCATTTCAAAAATTTCGAGTATTTTCGAAAGATTTTTTGGAATGACCATATTTCGTGCACTTTTCAATCGATTCCAACAATTTTTTTTTCAACACTATCTACTCGAACTCCAGTTTCCGAATATGCCATTTTTCGGAAAATTGTTTCTGGTTTGTGTGGTCAAAAATGGACAAAACCAAAAATTTACCTTTTTTGCTGGATTCTTTATAAGGGCCTCAGGCGCTATCTAAATATGGTGGTAGCTCGTCCCTGCGGCCCTCCATCTCGACTGCCGTACCTCGTGATGTAACATAATATTAAGAAAAACAATATAAAATACAAGTAATGTGTGTATTTAATTTTCATTAAACATGAAATAAATTCAAAACGTTCCAATTTCACGAATTTTAATGGTTATTGTTCTCATTAGACATTTTCAAATATGCCGCTTGTGACAGTTTTGACAGTTCATAATTTCATTTTATAGCACAAAATACATGCAACAGTTTGACAACCAGTTCGCTGTATTGTATATATGACTTTTACATATGTTATCACTTAGCTTAATAACAATCTGTCTTATTGAGAAAAAAAAATCAAAATATATTCAAAACTTACGAAAATTAAATGGTGATATTCTAAATGTGATAATTAATAGAAGATGGCTGCAAAACTATTCATCCGACTGTTCCCTTCAAGTGTGTGGAAAAATTTAAAATCAATAACAAACATTACAAGATCATTGTCAAATGATTATGTGCGGGTTGATGAAGTGGGCGATAAAGGAATACTAATGTTGAATCGGGGAAATGCAATGAATGCAACGAACCTTGATATGCTTGAAACACTTTCAACAAATATAAAGAATTGGAGTAATCAAAAATCGTTGATAATTGTTAAAGGTGTTGCAGGTAAAGCATTTTCGGCCGGCGGTGATTTAAGATCGTTGGTTGAATCTTCGAGTGATGTCAGAAGAAAGATATTTCGAACCGAGTACGAAATGAATCATGTGATTGCAAACTTGGAAACACCGTACATAGCTTTTATCGATGGCGTCACAATGGGTGGCGGTGTCGGTATTTCAATATATGCCGACTATTGTATTGCAACTGAAAACACACTTTTTGGAATGCCCGAATCGTCTGTTGGTAATTTTACCACCTCAACATTGCAAAGCCAATACTTAAACACCATTCGAATGTTATTTTAGGTCTTTTTCCTGATTGTGGATCATCATACTTCTTCCCTAGACTTAATGAGAAAATTGGTTATTATTTGGGTCTAACTGGTTTCCGGTTGAGAGGTAAGACATTTGAACAAATGACAGACCCATTGCAACAGAATATTCATATGCGATGTTATGTACATATTTCTACAGGTCCAGATGTGTTACACGCTGGCATTGCCACTCATTATTGTGACAGTGCAAAAATTCCAGAGATGGAAAAGGCCTTACTCAGTTTAAAAGATGCGAAAAATATCGGGAGCGTTATTGATGACTATTGCCAAACGCCTCAAACCGAATTCATATTGACAAAGCACCTTGATCAGATCAATAAATGCTTTGATGCCTCTTCGGTAGAAGAAATTCTGGACAATTTAGAGAAAGATAATAGCGAATGGGCGAAACAAACAATCAATGTAATTTCCATATCGTTCAAATACATTGCATAGCATATTGGACGTTTTTATTCTTATCATAGATGCTTCGGAAACTTTGTCCGACAAGTTTAAAAATTATCTTCCGTAATTTGGAACTCGGAAAAAATTTATCATTAGGAGAATGTTTACAGATGGAATACCGCTTGGCGCTTCGTTTGATTGCCGGAAAGAACTTTCAAGAGGGTATGATCATTTCAGCTTTACTATTACAATTTTGCATTGCATATAATGTCACCATAGGTGTTCGAGCCCTGCTAATAACTAAGGACAACAATCCCAACTGGGATCCATCACGCATCGAAGATGTTACCGACGAATATTTATCATCATTCTATAAACCATTGCCAAATAATGAGGAACTGCCGATGTAATTCTTGAATCCAAAACAATCCTTTTGCTTAACTGTTTTCTTTATGTTGAGTTTAATACCAGATAATTTAATAAATAAATACTTTTTTTACTTTCAGAGATGTTAAATTGAATGAGGATTTTCATAACCTGACACCAAACAAATAAAGCGACAATTTTAAGTAATAAATAATAATGTATAAAGAAATTATTCTTCATTTTTACACGTGAATGGAAAAAGCAATGAAACATATATTTTTAAATTTTATTATTTTTGTAATAAAAATTGTATGAATTCAAAAATGAAATATTGTTGTATAAATAGATAATGTTTTGTTTACCAAAAAACACATGTGAACTGTCAAATATATGACATGTTGTTTGGAGTAGTGACGTTTCATGACTATTCTATGACGTTTTACGATCTTGTTAGTGCTTAAACCATAGTGTGTTTGTGTTATTTTGAAGCGGGAAACCTTAATTAATGTATTTTCCAATGTCAAACGCGTGTACGATGATAATTTAGCAAAGTTTGTACAATTCTACGTTATATAATAGATTCAAGCTAACTCAGTCTGTGCTTAAATCAATGCTGAAAGACTGCTGGCGTTTCGAATCATATGCGATTCTTATTCAAGACTATTCAATCATTAATGATTCTGTCAGAAATAATAAATCGTTAATCCAAGCCACTCAAATAAGATTTCAGTCAAAAAACCGGTGAAAATAGTCCAATTAAATTATTAAAAATGATCGATTTAAACACACACTAACGTTGGCTTGCGTTTATTAATTCCACTTTATATTCAAGCTATGTAAGTGTATGTGTTAGAAAAGGTTATATATAAAGAGGTTAATACGTCAATTTCTATTTTGCTGAATATATGAATGAAAAATAGCGCAAATAGATAGCAAAAGAGAGTGAAGAAAAATATGCTGGATTTAAAGTGGCACACTTCAATCTCTGTTTGTCAGTTTAATAGACGACGTTGAAACAGTCACTGATAATTAATCACTGACAGCAGCAAAATAAAGAATGGTTCTACCAAAAACTGATTCGGTATTGGCCGAAGAGCGAAACAACAAAGGCATATTAACACTAAATCGACCAAAAGTATTGAATGCAGCGAACTATGAAATGGCTGAAAAGGTGTTTGTTGCATTAAACAAGTGGCGAGATACAAAATCAATGGTAATAATCAAAGGCAGCGGAGATAGGGCATTTTGTGCGGGTAGCGACCTCAAACAATTGATTGAACCGAGTGAATTTGAAACAAATGTGAAATTTTTTAAAGTTGAATATACGGTGAATTTTATGATAGCAAATTTAAAAATTCCTTATATATCACTGATTGATGGCATTATTATGGGCGGCGGAGTTGGTATGCAGAACCATTAAAATCCAAATTATTTTGGCACAAATACTGCAGTCTTTTTTTTTGTATAATTCAAGGTTATTCAATACATGGAAAGTATCGTATTGCGACCGAACGTACGGTTTTTGCAATGCCAGAGACAAAAATCGGTGCCATGCCGGACATTGGCAGTTCATACTTTTTACCACGGTTAAAAGGAAAACTTGGTTATTATCTCGGTCTCACCGGATCCAGATTAACGGGTATTTTAAATCATTTTTGTATTCCATTTGATGTTTATCATTTTGTTTCGATTGTTTTTAGGTATTGATGCATTACACGGTGGCATTGCTACACATTATTGCGATAGTGCACGTCTTCCACAGCTAGAAGGAGCATTAATTAATTTACAAAATGCCAATGACATCGAACAAGTTCTTGACGAATATTGTCCAAAAATAAAATCAGAATTTAGTTTAGCCAAACATCTTTCACAAATTAATAAATGCTTCAATGCATCTACAATCGAAGAAATTTTAACAAATTTAGAAGAAGACGACACCGAATGGTCGAAACAAACGATTAAAGTGAGTAAATTAAGCAAATAAATTAAAATGGTCAAAACCAAATTAAATCAAATAAATTATTTAGGTGCTTCGAACAGTGTCGCCGGTGTCCTTGAAACTCACACTACACCAGCTTCAATTGGGCGCTTCATATTCATTAGGAGAATGTTTGCAAATGGAATATCAGCTAGTTCGACGAATTTTAAAGCATGATGATTTTCATGAAGGTCAGCACTTACACGAATATTTCTAACATAGTTTCAATTGAACCATTTGATGTGCATTTAAATTTAGGTATTAAAGCGTTGCTAGTTCGTAAGGATAATAAGCCAAAGTGGAATCCAGCACGAATCGAAGACGTCATTCTTGAAAAACACGTTCTGCCATTTTTCAAACACTTTCCGGACAACGATATTGATGAATTGCCAATGTAGGTAGATCATTTGCAAATTTTATTGGAAATAGGAATACGGTTTTAAAAATGATATTTTTATTTACAGAAGCGTCAAATTAATTTCGAAATTTTAAACCTAAATATATAGATCACATTTAATGACATTCCTTTAAATCAACATAGATGTATTGCAATGTATCAACTACTTCAAGAATTTTTGATTAGATTCGTTGGTTCAATAATAGATATTTGTATAAAGTATAATTACACTGGGACTTTGACTTTTTCTTGCTAATTAAGAAGATAAATGTACACTTACAATAAAAATAAAAACAGTGGTAATTTAATAAATCAAGACTTTTTAATGTGCGTATAACATTTGTTTTTACAACTTGTATAAAATTTAAATAAAAACTCCACTTTCCTCAAGACATTTTCTGAATGACAAAAGTAAGAACCGGAATAGAATTGGAAACACCAGTTATTAAAACATCTCATCAATCTTGCTGTTTTTTAATCAATTTTTCCAAGAAATGACACGTGATGTATTATATGAATCGATAAAATCACTTTATTTTGAAAGAATTTTTGAATATTCGCTCAATTTTAATCGTTTGGTTATACCATTTATTTATCTCATAAACAATTTTACATTAAACATTTATATCACATTAAGTGCATAAACAAGATTCAGAGCTTTGTGAGTGGATTCAGAATATATTTTTTCTGTTAATTCACTTCATTCGTTTATAATGAATTTGAATTGTGTTTGCATTAAATCAAACCTTATATAGCATAGAAATTGAACGTTGTTCAATAATAAAGTAAAATAATTTCGAAAAGAAAAACTTAAGATCAAAATTCAAAATTTCGTTTCAGAGCGGTACAAAGATTGGCAATAAGAATTATTGTTAACTTTCAGCTATGAATATACCCACGGACTATGAATATGATTAACGAATCTAAACATAAACTATTCTGCCGAAATGATGAATTCTTTAAAATGATTCATAAAATCACAATTATATTTTGACAATTAAATCATTTTATAAGTATACTAAATTGATTACAATCCAATAAGAAGAACGTTATATTTCAAAGAAAACTGATAACTCTGTAATTCGCCAAATTCACTTTCAATAAATACATAAATCAAAACAATTGAATTAAATGATTCATATAAAATCTGTGAAGGTAAATAAATCAATAGCGTCAATAAAATGATGGCGTAAGTAATAAGAAGCACTTTAATTTATTTAAATTGGAAAAATCGAAACATTTGATTATACAGTTCACTCATAAACAAAAAAAATATCCGCGTCAACATTGAAATGAGTTCTTTGCAACTGTAGGCGCGAGTTATAAAAATTCGTATATACAAATCAGATCGTTCATTGCATCGTTAGAAATTGAAGGTTATACATCAAAAATTAATTCGAAAAAGTTTATCAATTTTTTTTAAAGACACGCGATAAGAAAAATGTCGAGCCTTAAAAACCGGTTACATGTCCATTTTTCTTGCCGCTCTTGTAATAATTTATATATGTTCAATAAACATCATAGGGAAGGAGTGTGGTGCCCCAGCTGCCGACAGTATAATGCATTCAATCCCTCGTGGATGTGTTTTTGCAGTTCTTGGTATTATGCCCACGTATAGGTTTGTCATATGCGCGCACTGTTCATTTTTCCAATTTTTTGATATTTAAGCAATATTTTTGTCTCACTTAGCTTGTGTCATTTTTTTCAGTAATTCACACATATTTGATGATCAACAAACTGGATCCATGTGACTGGAAATACATTATCAAATATTTTAATCAAAATTACATTGTAATGATGCATTGAATAAATTATTATTAGATTCAATCTCCTTTTTATGTGATTATTTAATTTCTTTCAGCTGAAGAATCAAATGAAGAGCACATAAATTTAATAAATCTGAACGATTTGTTTTTGGTGTGATGTAAAAATTTGATTGGTTTCTACTCTGAATATTTGGTTTTGTCACATTTTCATTATTATTCCTGGTATATACAAATTGCTAGGAGGAGACACCAAAGAATAAATTCTGAATCCAGTATATTACTAATCCAGCTATTCCACTAATCCAAAAACACAAATGTGAAATCGAAACTATTTTCCTATTTCATTCACTGTTTCGATATTCCACGCGAATCCGTTCACAGAAGTTGCTATTTCATTGCAATTTCTCGAACCTTTACACTAAAAGTCTAATCCCATTCCACGTGTCTGCCCCCTAGACAAATTGTTGATCATTTTAGTCGATTTTTTGTACCGAAATATGTTCCCAATGACAATAAATTGGACTGATAGTTTGTTATATGGCGTATTTCAGTGTAGACTGAGTGTGGGTGAATTTGTTCCGGTTCGACATATTTTTTTGTGTTCTTGCCAAAAAACTTGTATACATATAAGCATGTAAATAAATTCAACGATCGTTTATTCAATAATTTGGAAAATATATTTGAGCTAGTTGCCCGTACGATATATTACGCTAATAAAAAAATATACGATTTCGAAACATAAAGTTTTCTCGCCTTCGCCAAACACAAGCGATCACTGATTCATTTCTTATGAACTCTGTACATATATATAAAACACATCGCATCTGGTGTTTTTGTCGTAAAAGCGTGTACGACTTTTAAAAATATATATTTTGTTTAGTGTGCAGTCGAATTTTATGTCGATGTGTAAAAAAAGATCGACTTTTCATTTCAGTTCGCATTGAGCGTGTGAGGTGATAGTATCAAAACGTGTCGTGTTCGAATATCAAAGGCGGATTCGTTCGTATTTTCTATCGAATCTTTGGTTTTTTTTTTTCAATGAAACAATGAAATTTGACTATAGAATATTATTATTTATTGTAATCGTAAACGTGTCGAATTCAAAATGTCAGAAAAATCAAGTGACGATTGGTAAAAAATGGATATTATCGTATAATATTGAAATTAACAGACAATATATTAAATTAACTGGTCAGTTGAGCTGGCAGTACGTTAGCCAGCTAAATGGGCTTAAACAATAGACGTTATTGTTTTAATGATGAATCAATTTTCTTGTTTTAATAGAAGTGATTGTTCATTATAACAATAACTTCTATTGTTTGAGTCCATTTAGCTGGCTAACGTACTGTCAGCTCAACTGACCAGTTAGTTCAATATATTGTCTGGAAATTAATGCATGATAGTCATGCGTCTGAATGCGTGGGTGTGCTTAAAATAATTTCGTTTGTTTATTCTTTGATGTGAACAGGAGCCGTTTTTGAGGACAATGGATTTTTTGATAAAAACATTCAAATGCTCAAATATGCTGTCAATGAAGCGAATGAAAAAATTCTCCAAGACAGTGGCATGGAGCTGATCGTAAAATATAAAAAAATTGCACCCGGTCGTGAGTGGCATGTTTCGAAACGTGTTTGTGATTTGCTTGAAGTAATTACATTTTTGCAATGGATGAAATACTATATTTGTATAAAATCTAAAATAAATTCTCTCGATAGCGGGGTGTTGGTGTTATATTTGGACCACAATCAGTATCGTCTGCTTATCATGCAATGAATATCTGCGATTCGAAGGAAATACCATACGTGAACACATATATGGACGAAGATGCAGCCGCTAAATCAGCTGCGCTCAATATTCATCCGAATTTGGAAAGTTTAACACAATTGCTATTGGACTTTGTTATTGCTTCCGAATGGAAGAACGTAACGATCTTGTATGAATCTCCGCTGTGGCTGAAACGAGTCGCAAAAGTGTTAGAAACCAACAAAGACCTTAAAAATCGAATAAATGTACGAAATCTAGACTATACCACCAACAATGAATTTCGACCCGTTCTACAGAAAGCTCGTGAATTGGAGTCCACAAATATTATTTTAGAGTGTTCTTCGGAGTCGTTGCCCATTATTTTACGACAATCGATGCAGGTCGGACTAATTACAAAGCAATACAATTGGATTATTACAAACTTAGATACACATTCAATCAATTTGGAACCGTATCAATATAGCGATGCAAAAATTACAACATTTCGCATTTTAAACAAAAAACATCCGATTTTCGACACACCAAAAGATGATGATGATAGCAATCAAGACCTTTTCAATGTTGATCCTGAAAGCAAATTTGATGTAGAAACTAGTTCAACTAACAACAATTGTAAATCGAATTTCGATTCGACCAATGTTGTCATTCCAAATTATCCGGATAAGTTAAACGGTCGGTATTTTACATTGTTTGAATGCGTCACATCAGAAATTAAACTAAATAATTGAAACACATTTTTTTAGGCCTTGTCAGCCTTCAAACTTCGCTTATCTATGATGCTGTGATGGTATTTTCAATTGCCATTGAAAAACTTGGCGCCGATCAAGTGGCACCGGTACCAATTGCATGTTTTAACCGTACCTCCATGTGGAATAAAGGTTACACGATATTGAATTATATGAAAAATGTAAAATTATTTGTGAAGACTAAACGACATTTGGAAAAGTTCAATAAATGTACATTCTCTTTTGAAGGTTAATTATGATGGTGTATCTGGTAGAATTGAATTTGACAACAGTGGTGTACGTTCCAATATCACAATCGACTTGCTCGACGTCAGATCAGAAACCATTGGACAGTGGACATATGGGGTGGAAAATCGTTTAAAAATCGGTGGCCAAAATGCGCCATTAAAAAAAGATGACATTTATGGTTCTTTGAAAAATGTAACTTTAAGAGTTATTACCGCCTTGGTAAAAATATCAACTTTTTCTTACTTTCATGATCATTGTTGACGAAATATTTCACAAAAGTCTATGTGTTTTTCAATTACAGACTGAACCTTATACTATGTATAAAAATGGCACAGATTTGTTGATAGGAGATGATCAATTCGAAGGTTATGCAATTGACTTGATTTTTGAGCTCTCATTAATTTTGGGATTTAATTATACATTTATTGTTGAATTTGATAATAATTATGGAACGAGAGACGAAGCAACAGGGGATTGGAATGGCATGATTGGAAAACTTATATCAGGTGTAAGTGCAATATTAATTAAACAACAACAAAAAATGCATGTAATCGATTTTTGTGCAATATTACAGGATGCGGACCTCGCCATCACCGATTTAACGGTAAGTGATTCAATAACTACGGCAACATGAGGAAGTATTTAACTTAGTTTTTATCGTTTTAAAAGGTTACAGCAGCTAGAGTACATGCAATTGATTTTTCACCAAGTATTATGAATTTAGGTGAATATCTTGTTCGGAACCCGTCTGGTGATTGTTTTATAAAAAATACTTTTTTTCCCTATTCAAAAAGGCATTGCTATTCTGTATCAAATACCAAAAAAGGCACCTCCAGATGTGTTCAGTTTCATGAAGCCGCTTGGAGGTGACGTTTGGATTCTGTTGGGTACAACTTATCTCTTTGTTTCGATTTGTTTCTTTTGTGTGGGTCGAATCTCACCCGCCCAATGGGAATGTCCATATCCATGTATCGAGGAGCCAAAATTTTTGGAAAATCAACTTAGTTTTCAAAATTCACTATGGTTCGCTGCAGGAGCAATACTACAACAAGGATCGGAAATTGAAATAAAGTGAGTTTTTTCATGTTTTTTTTCTATCCCTCAAAAATATACAAATAATGCTTTTAAATTTTTTTTCAAAAGCGTAACTTTATTTTATTTTTTATTTTATAATGCATAATGCTTAATGCTTATCAATTCAACGCTAGAGCCGTATCAGTTCGTTTGCTATCAGCAGCTTGGTGGTTTTTTACGTTGGTCATCGTCGCATCTTATACAGCAAATCTTGCGGCTTTCTTGGTGCTTGAAAATCCAATTGAAAAAATTAAAAGTGTGGAAGATTTTGCAAACTGTGGCCTTGAAAACGAAAAGGAGTGTCCTGCCGCTACATTTGGCGTTAAAGAAGAGGGAGCCACAAAACAGTATTTTGAAGTAATAATGGAATATTAAGGCAAAATTTACAAATTTTCTAATATTTTTTTCAATTGTTGAAAGCATTCGGAGCATGAGCCGTTCAAACATATGTATCGATGGATGGAGAAAAATCGAGATGTAGCTTTTGTAAAAAACAATCAAGCAGGATTAGAAAAGGTACAAAATTCGGATTATGCATTTTTAATGGAATCAACCTCTCTGCTGTACTTCACTGAACGAAACTGCGATGTGACAATGGCTGGAGATTTAATCGATGATCGAAATTATGCGATTGGAATGCCTAAGAGTATTATTTTCTTCATTTTTACAAACTGAATTATTTTATTAATAAATTTGAACTTTTGAAGATTACAAGTACTACCATGAGTTGTGTGAGGGCGTTTTACGCTTGCAAGAGCTCGATGTTTTGGAGAAATTACATAGGAAATGGTGGAAATCTAAACGCGGTGGTGGTGCATGTCAGGTGAGTCTTGACAATCATTTAATTAAAAAAAATATTCTTCTAATGCAAATCACCGTAGAAAAAATCGTCAACGGAAGCAGAACCCTTGGAATTGAATCATGTGGTGGGAGTTTTCGTTGTGGTGGCTGGTGGCGTCGCCTTTGCTCTTCTATGTGGCATTGTTGGTATGAGTTATGGTATTCGAAAAAGAGCGAAAAAGGCCAATGTAATTATGCGGATTATGTTTATTTAAATAGTTTTTTTACACATTTGCCAAATTGAATGGTTATTTTCCGTAGATTGAATTCAAGGAACAAATGAAAATCGAACTAAGATTCTTGATGAAATCATTGGCCAATCCTGATAAACCGAAACCAACTCGATTGATGAAAAAGGGACAACTATCATCATCTCGGTCAGACACTACAAGTCGATCAAATCATACCATATCACCGTGATTTGTTTGTTTGCGTTTAAACGTTTACAAGAAACTATGCCAAAAAAACGAATTCTGAAAAATGCAACGTACATTACGCGCTATTGTTATATCTCTAATTTAGTTCAATAAACGATTTTTTTGAAATTTGACAATGACCGGAATTTGATTACCCATCTCTGATTTTTATTCCATAGCCAAGTTACATGAGAATATACTGAAAAATTAAGCCGTAAATGAAGACCCCGCATTGAAATGTTTATTTAAATTGCATATTTGAAATCCGAGTGCTTCAAACAAATCGCTGTCCACTCATCAGACTTTTTGATATATTTTCACTCATTTCATCAGTAAATCCGCCGGCCTTTCCTTTTCGAAAGAATCTGAAAAAACATCAAAATAATCGTTTCATAGCTCTCACTTGCTCAATCTTAATTATAGCAATTTATAAATTGCTTGTGTGCTTTTACACTTACTGATAGTCTTTTGCGTCTTTTGATATGATAGTAAGTTTCTTCATATTTCCAAACGATATATCTATTGAAAATATCGAGAGGGGAGTATGTTTTTATTCAGACATTACTCAGCCATAAGCGCTGAATAACATACCTTCTTCTCGATGTATTCAATAGATATAGTCTGTGAGCCGTTTTAGTTCATCTTCATCATACATGCTTTCCAGGAATTTGGCAATTTTTTTAATTCCACCAAATTGTTCTTCAGAATTTAAAAACAAAAAATTATTCAAACGATGAAGTTGCCAATATGCAAGAACATGAGAATGAATTGGCGCGAAAAGAACTCTATCCTCCAGGAACAAATCGAAGAATTCTTCAATGCTTCCCGAAAACCCTAGTGAAAACCAATCCATTCCATTTCGATAGATGTGAAAATTCGAAATGGCAACAGCCTTAGGATTGCGCGCAATGTAAATGATTTTCGGTCGAACCGTCCACATTTCTGCTGGCAACAAATTTGGGCGGAAAGTGTGATTGCGATGATGGTGCGTTATTCAGTTTCTCAAGTTGGCGATAATTATCGCCTAAACAGTCACGTTCGAAATGTTCATTAGTCCACAAACTAAGTGGTTTCTTCGAAAAATCAAATCCATTCTGCAATTGGCAAACAATATTCTCAATCCACGTTGAGCCCGTTCTCGGCAGTGACAAAATCCAGACATCGTCTTTTCTCACATCGAATGTTCGGAACTCGTCAGCCCATTTTTTAAATGATTTTATTGTGAAGCATGGTTCGAATTTATAATCTTTTGGAAATGGCAAATGCTCATTTGCCCACGGTTTTGTGTTTACCAAAAGATAAGTATTTACATTATCTATATACACGGTGTTCTATCAATTGGCGTATTTTCTTCTTCAAAAATGAACGCACTATCTTGAGTTAAATTCTGCGACATTTTCCGACATTTAAATGGAACTGATCTTCAATTAATACTGAATGATCATGTTCTTTGCAAAGCTGTTTTATAACATTTTAAATATCTTTGTCATGATAATATTGGTCAAGTTAACAATTTCTTTTTATATAATAATCATAATATATATTCGATTAGATCGAAGAATATCTCAACAAAAACTTATAGTAATATCTAGCAATACAAAAAGTCCTTTTGGTAATTCAAATCATTAAATAAAATAGAACAATTTCATTTTATCCGTTGGAATTATAATAGATAGCCAGATATAAAACGATATCATCATGGTCATGGCGCTTATATTTTGCTGTGCAATAAAATTCGTACGATTCGACTGACAAAGCTAATTTGTCTTATGCTAATCCCTTATAAATTCGAACCATGTTTCATGGCAAAAAAACTAAAAAAATGAGCGAATAAACTTCGAAAATTCAAAGCGAGATAAGACGACGTCTGAATTTTGGCATGACATTTTCTATAGACGCAAGCTATCACTGTATTAAATTGTACGTACCTGTTTACACTATCTCCGTAAATGTTCTCATTCAAATGTATTGATTGCTGTTAAGATAATGTCATTTTATTTTTGAAAAACACACATTTCTGTGATAAATAACGGTATACTTGAACCAAATCGTAACAAGCATGTATTGTGTTTGCACCGCTGCAGTTTAATGTCCATGACAGATAACTTCTCATTATTGCTATTTGAATTCAAATAAAAACTTTATGAAAATGAATACAATCTTTTTCTGTATATTCGTAAGTAAATTACTCAACATTGAAACTAATCGCTCAATAAAATCACATTTATTCATTTTATCAAAGTCAAAATAACCATTTGTATGAAAAACGACAAACTTTAAATTGAATTTGTATCGATTTCGCCGCGGGAATTGAATAATTTTCAAAATTTACAATTAGATATTTGGATAATCTAGTTATTATAGTGAAAGTGTGTTGTGTACACCATTTCCAACCGATAGAGAAAAAAACGCTTAATCGATGTATATTATAGGTATTTATTCAAATTAGGTTTGGGCGCAATCTAACGTGAAAACCATCAAAATGCATTCAAGATTTATTGGAATACAATTGAGTCTCATTTTCACTGGTTCCAATTTCTCAAAGAAAAGCACAGTTCAGTTGCCACAAGGTTCTGTTCAAATATTATGAATTTATTTTCAATTCATTTGTTCACATTTGTATAATCGGGTTTTTTTCTTTAAAATAGAAAATACAGTTTCTACCTCATTAAATTGTGTGTGAGTTTGTTTATGATCTACTTAGAATTAACATTATTATTTTTTTTTAAACGGATTCAGTTCGCAAACGATTTTCTATCCAAATACAATATTTAATTTACAATGACATTTTTCGTCCTTCGATTGAGATTTCGACGGCTCGCCGTGATCCTTTTAACCTTTTTGCATCAATAAATTTCTTCAGATGCTTTTCATATCGATTGGGCTTCTTTTTTTCAATCTGAAAATGGAATTAAAGTTTATTTTAATTAACAAAACGTTCTTTTTCAAATGAGATCTGTGGACATTGTTGAAATTAAAATACTTACGCGACTCATGTCAATATCAACGGTAGATCTAGGCCGGACAACATAGTCTTTGGTTGATGGTAGTGGTACTCGTGCACGACTAACCCATCCTTTGTCACCTGGACGCAGTTGACGTTCTTCGGTTGTGAACGATGTCAATTCTTTTTTCTTTGTGCTTGTTCCCGGTTCCGGGCTTGTGCGCCGTTTTCGTGGCATTTGCTCTAAATCACGTTGCAAACGTTCTTCACGTGTCAACGAACTCATGTCCGCGCTTAAATTGAATATTGGCCGGGCCCATTCTGATATCAATCGACCAGCTCGTTCACGATTCTTTTTCGTTTCGGATGGATGTTTATACAAGTACATAACTGCTTTTCCGACACCGGATTGCTTAAGATATGATTTGTCTATTGGTGGAAACTAAAAATGAAAAATTACATACATGAAAAAAATGAAATTCGATTTGTGATAAAAGCAAAATGGGAGGGAGAGTAACTTTAAAATACATACATCAGAGAGTAACTTTAAGATGCTTTCACGAATTTGTAAACATGGTAAACTTCGATTTGGCAACGGTGCCAACCAATCTGTTAAAACGTTTAATATATTGTGTTCGATGAACGCCAGTTGCAAGTCTTTCTTAATCAATTGTGACATCACCATTTTTAGCATGGAAATCTTTCTGGTAGCCGGTTTTTGTTGTAAATTCAATTCACGATCGTCCTGTTCAAGTAAAAAAATGTTGATTAAAATCGATTCAATAACTTCGATTTATTTATGCTTAATACCTCAGCTGCTGCACGCATATCTTGAATGAGTTGATCGATAATGTCGTCATTATCGTTAATGATATCAATATCACGTCGTTTTCGTCGTTTTGAGCTATCTTCACGTTTTTTAGCCAACATTGCTTCGAAATCATTGACAAACTCATTATCCCCGTGACCAACATCATTTGTGACACCTTCATCTGAACTTTCTCCACCGTCTCCCGTTGCTTGATGTACTTGATTTGCATCACCTTGGCCAGCTGTCGCTTCTTCTTCTTCATTATCTGAATCGATGATTTTGGCTCGCTTAACCGCTTGAGCACTAGTTGCACCTTTAATTTAAAGATTCGTTAATGGAATGATTCAATCATATGAAATCGTATCGTTATAATTACCTTCGTCCTCGGAATCACTCAAAAGTGCACGTTTTTTACGAACAGGTGAGCCACTGCGATTTGATGCTGCGCTACCGCTACGTGACCGAGAATCTGTGGATGAAACAAGGAATAGGTATTTTTTCACATTATTTTCAAATCTTTTTCAATAACTTTTCCCATTCAAAACGATGATTCAAATTATATTGAGCTGACAGCATTCAATTGAAGTGAATCACATTTATTTACTCTGAAAATTAGTACATTTTTTACTTACGTGAGCGACTTCTGCTTCTTGGTGTTCCACTCCGACTACGGCGAGAACCACTACGACTACGGCTTCTACTTCGGCTTCTACTTGAGCGGGAACCACTTGAAGAGACTGAGCTCTTACTTCTACTTCTACTTCTTGCAGAACCACTACGAGCTGATCCACTTCGGCTACGGCTACGGCTCCTACTTTTGCTGTGACGTGAACCGCTGTGGCTCCGGCTTCTACTTTTGCTATGACGTGAACCGCTGCGGCTCCGGCTTCTACTTTTGCTGTGACGTGAACCGCTGCGGCTGCGGCTTCGACTTTTGCTGTGACGTGAACCGCTGCGGCTGCGGCTTCGACTTTTGCTGCAACTTCGGTGTGAGCCACTTCGGCTACGAGCCGACCCACTACGTTTTGATGCTACACTTCCACTACGAGATCGTGAGCCTAAAATTTATTCAATAAGAAAAAGTCACTTTGTAAAAAAAAACTTTCAATTTCCACTAAAGAAAAAGACATCCAAAATTTCGTTACAAACCTGTTCGACTAATTGGTGAGCCAGTTTTACTGCGCGGTGTACGTGATCGGCTACGTCTTTCTGCTGTTGGGCTACCCGATGGTGAACGACTTGGCGATCGAATATTATCATTATCATTCGGTGTTGGTGAACGGCTTCGGGATTTTGATGAGCGCGCACCATCACCATCTGGGGACCGAACCTCGTTTGGTTCAGAAATTTCGTTGGATTCATTCAGATTTGGTGATGCCGAATCCGATCGATCTGAATTTGGTGATGCAATCGACTTATTGTTTTCGTTTGATTCATTCAATGGTGATGCCGAGCCCGACCGGTCTGAATTAGGCGATGAAATCGATTTATTGTTTTCATTCGATTCATTCAATGGTGATGCCGATCGCGATCGGTCTGAATTTGGTGAAGCAATCGATTTATTGTTTTCATTCGAGTCATTCATTGGTGATGCCGACCGTGACCTTGGTTCCGAGCCAGGGCTTCCACTGCGACTGCTCGATCTTGATAAAACATTTTCCTGGTCACTATTATTATCCGGACTCATTGGTGTATCTATTTGCAACGGAAGAGATAAAAAAAAATGTATACATCAGTCATATGTCTATGATAGCTACAACAACAATAATATTTCGGAGCATCGATTGTAGCCGATAAATGCAGGATTCAAATTACATCAAATTTTTAAGAAAAAAACATAAAAAATGCTTACCCATTTCAGCATCCATGCTTGACTTACAGGTTTGCCTTGTTTTAGCAAGGAAAAAACAGTAATATTTGTGGTGCGACAAATGATTTGGATGAAATGTATTCTCTCAAATTGAATACTCGTATGTATGCCCGAGAAACGTCAATAGCTTATGAAATAATTGTTCAATGTTTTGTGAATAAACAAATGAAATGAGCCAAATATGCTAAATGTTGTCCACACAGAAAATTTCTTATTTTTCCGATGTTTACTTTCCAACACTTCGAATGCAACTACACAATTTTAATTTTGTGATGTACACATGAAGGGAAAATTAAAAATGCTTTAATGCGGCTTGTTGTCTGAGCTGTCAACGCTTAATGAGCTGTCACATACAGTGTTGCCAACGACGACATTTTGACATGTGGTGAATTTCGTCATTAATGCGATGAATTCGATGGTAGCTAAAGTCAACTCAACACACAACTTTGACACAAAGAACCGAAATCACAATTGTGTATGAAGCATATATGTATACACAAAAAGATCACGTCATTTTCTAATTATTGGTAAGGATTTTCTGTATTTTTTTGCAATAATTATCAAAAAATCAAATCGAATTCACTTTTCATTCAAATGGCATGTGAATTGTGTTTTTGTTGCAAGTGTAATTGATAAAATTCGTGTTTAATTTAACAAATAGAAATAACCTTGGAATTTCAGTGTTTTTCGTTGTTTTGAATGTCGTCATCACTGATTCATGCACCAAAACTGAAATTACTTCAATTTGGTGAACATTTTTTTTTTGCATCGAAATACGTACAAAAATCATTTAATATATTAAATATTTGTAATGATTTGTGATTTTTTGGGTGTTGTTGACAGATAAGCATTAAAGCGGAGGGAAAAAATAATATGGCAAATTCAAGTACATTACAAAAAGCCATTGATTTAGTGACAAAAGCCACCGAAGAAGATAAAAACAAAAACTATGCTGAAGCGCTAAGATTGTATGAGCATGGTGTAGAGTATTTTTTACATGCAATTAAATGTAAGTAAGCTTGGCAATGAATATATAAACGTCAGGAAATGACGTATTACTTTTATTTCTGTCAACCGAAGGTTAATTTTCCGCTTTTTTCTGTCTCTAATGCTTGTAATTGTAGACGAAGCGCAGGGCGACAAAGCAAAGGATTCAATACGTGCTAAATGCTTACAGTATTTAGATCGTGCCGAAAAATTAAAAGAGTATTTGAAAAAGGGTAAAAAGAAGCCAGTTAAAGATGGTGATACTGGCGCTTCCAAAGATGAAAAGAAAAGCGGCGATGAAGGATCTGACTCGGATGATCCGGAGAAGAAAAAAATGCAAAATAAATTAGAAGGCGCCATTGTCATGGAAAAACCAAATATAAAATGGTCGGATGTGGCTGGTTTAGAGGGCGCTAAGGAGGCACTTAAAGAAGCAGTCATTTTGCCGATTAAATTTCCACATTTGTTCACTGGCAAACGCATTCCATGGAAGGGTATTTTATTGTTTGGTGTAAGTATTCTCTTTTTTTAAATGACGTAAGCACTTTCAATGCCAATTAGTTTTTATGTTCACATCAATTATTCAAATTGATGTGTTTCACGATTGAATTGCATACTAATGACAATTTTAATTTTCTTTTAAAGCCTCCAGGAACGGGTAAATCATATTTAGCTAAAGCTGTTGCCACTGAAGCGAACAATTCAACATTTTTCTCCGTGTCCAGTTCGGATTTGGTTTCAAAGTGGTTGGGTGAATCGGAGAAATTGGTGAAAAATCTGTTTGAATTGGCACGCCAGCATAAACCAAGCATTATTTTTATTGATGAGGTTGATTCATTATGTTCATCGCGTTCGGATAACGAAAGTGAAAGTGCACGTCGTATCAAGACCGAATTTCTTGTGCAAATGCAAGGCGTCGGCAACGATATGGATGGCATTCTGGTGCTTGGCGCCACGAATATTCCATGGGTTTTAGATTCGGCCATTCGGCGACGTTTCGAAAAACGAATCTTTATACCACTGCCGGAAGAGCACGCCCGATTAACCATGTTCAAAATTCATTTGGGCAGCACATCGCATGTCCTTTCCGAAGAAAATTTAAAAGAATTGGCTAAAAATACCGAGGGTTATTCGGGTGCCGATATTTCGATTGTAGTACGTGATGCTCTCATGCAACCAGTGCGAAAAGTACAAACGGCCACACATTTTAAGGTAAGCATTCGGAATTGTTTGCATTGGACAAAAACAAAAACAAAATTTTGTAATTTATATTTTCAGACCGTTCGAGGCCCATCGCCTTTAGATAAAAACACAATTGTTGATGATCTAGTTACACCATGCTCGCCCGGTGATCCAGGCGCGTTTGAAATGACATGGATGGATGTGCCTGGTGAAAAACTATTTGAACCGCCCGTAACAATGGTATGATCTTTTTTAATCGCATTTCTTGCACATTTTTTAATGATATGAATGATTCATGTTTCAGAGCGATATGTTCAAATCTTTGTCAAGTACCAAGCCGACCGTTAATGATGAGGATTTGAAGAAGCTGCAGAAATTCACAGACGATTTCGGACAAGAAGGTTAAAATCTGTTCAACACCAACAGCTTGCAACCAGTTTCAGGCTTTGCGATCTTATGTCGCCGTATCACATTATTTTCGTTTTAAATACAAATAAATAATTTTATATATGTATTTTATTTCTGCTATTTCCCATATTGTTTCAAATATTTCACTATAAATTCAAATGAACAAATAAAGCGACATCAATATAAACTTAATCAAATGCCGTTTGGGTGAGAGAATTTCCATAATTTTTAGTCTTATCTACTCGTCTATCATAAAGTACTATTCATTAATAGGTATGGATGTTGTCATTTAAAATATTGGCGACATTTTAAAAAGTAAAATTGTATGCCAACATTAAAAAAAAAATATTTCAAAAAAATTCAAATAAAAAAAAAAACGAAAAAAATCTTTCTAGACGCAAAAACGTGCAAAATTATCAAACAACAAGATAATGTATACTCCGCACTAATGTGAGCTCATTAGTACGTTGTGCGGTATAGTATCTTTAAAACTATCGACATTCCAGTGAACGTAGGCTCACATACACAAACACGAAACACAATATAGACTCAATCCTAAAAGAAATCATGTGCCGATGCCTACCAGCATAACCGAATGGTAGGGATGTGCAGTTTGCTGCTTATGTTCGGTGATCTCTGTATGCAAACACACTGTTCTGAACTTGTTGTTGTTATATCTGTATGAGTGCAATGTGGTCAATGTATTGTGTCGGTGTGTAGTAAAAAAAACACGATCAGGTACAGACAACCTCAACACTCGTCTCTTTTTCACAAGATATTCAGTATGATTGAAGACACAATAAGTTGAGCACAAGCTACACCGTACAGCATCACAACAGCAGCACTGTTCGATTGATTTCTCGTTTCATCGATTTTTTTTTTACCTCTAACAATTTAAATCGTGCTCTCTCGCTCGCGTATTGTCAATTCACATCACAAAAGAGGTGATTTCATCTAACTAAAACGACATATTTATTCGAGTGTTATGTGTTTTTATATTTGTTCGTGATAACTCGTCAACGAATTGAAAGAAAAAGTGAGCAACATATTTTAGACAATCTCAATTTAAATTGCGCCTAACATTGATGGATTTAGTGAAAACAAAACCGAGTGGACACACGAAATTCCATTGATTTATCGAAATTGTATATTGAGTGGTATTTTTTAAAGAAACAACAAGTCAATTTGTGTTTTCCTAGAAAATAAGTGATAAAAATCTAAGGAAATATTCGCTCTTTGAGTGAAGCGATCCACATTAAATACACAGTCCGAATTCAAGAACGAAAAGGTAACAACAGCAATACGGAACGAAAAAAAAAGTCGGAAAGAATCGACCAAAGAAGAGAATGCCACACACATGCAACACGAATTATCGCTGTCTCTTTCGTCATCATTCACTTGACCATTTGTTTAGCGTGCAAACACACTGCGTTGATCGCATTTGAGGATACACTGATTACGACTTCTTTTCTTTTTATTTCTTCAATGGAATGTCTCGAATAGATCTTTCTCCATTTGTGTGCTTCTTTTTTCTTCATTTCTGTTTTGTTCATTTGTTTTATGTATATGCGTGTAATTGTCTGAGTGGCGCTTAGTTTTTTCTTTTTTGATTTTCCTTTCTTTTTCGTCGGAAATGATTCAAGGGATTTTGACCCATGCAGAGTTTTTCATCCGAATTTGATGAATCATCAAACGTCCTCAGGCGCTGTTTTTATTTTTCAATCCGATAGATCATTGAAATGTTAGTATTTATTCAGTTTGGATTCTTTGCTCACATTTAAAATGGATTAAAACTTAATCCAAAAGCATGTTACAACGTGAAACAGTGAGTGTTTGTGATGTTGATACATTTCGTCTCAATGAGACGGTTTCATTGAGCGAGTTTACGCTCACTTCATTAATTTAACTCATAAAACGATGGAGGAACGACTTTGACTCTGTGTTAATTGATCAGAATTGAATTGTCTATATGTCTCAGTGACGACGGCACTTATTTTTTTCACTTCCAATATTATTTCTACACATCTTATGCCAGTGAATGTGAATTCTAATTGATTAGTGTCATGAACTTTACGCCATATTTCCTCTCGCGGAAACCGACACAATTTTATACTGAATTTTATAGTGAAACAGAAAATGTAACTGTTTATAGCACTTAAAAATGACTTATTGCAAGGAAAAATTTGTGAATCTTTCCATTGAAATAGAAACAATTAATTTATTTGAATTTCTACGAATTTCGTAGCATTGTAAAACAAATATTAATGACAAATACATGGAACAAAAAACACTACTTTTATCATTCAATTGAAAATAGAATCTTTTATAAACAAGATGTTGAAATTCTTTTATTCTTTTCCACAGAAAAAAAAGTATGGCAACGGATTACACTAGGATATTTGGCGTGTCAACATTGGCCGTATTCTTGCTAATTGTCTCAGTACACTTATCGCAGTCATGTAATGAACAAGTATGCGCATCAATCGTGTCCAAATGCATGTTAACACAAAGCTGTAAATGTGATAGCAAGAATTACTCCTGCTGCTCAGAGTGCTTTAAATGCTTGGGTCATCTGCAATTGGAGTGCTGCAGTTGCTTGGGTAAGTAAAGGCCCCAAAATCGGAGTTTTAAAAAAATCAATATCTTCCGTGTGTGTACGTCAATAATTTCCCAATCATATGCATTCAATTAACAGAAATGTGTCCAAAACCAACGGAAACTCGAAATGTATCGCGTCAATCGCATATTGAAGATTTGGAAGGAATTCCCGGCTTGTTCAAAGCACTCACCGAAGAGTCCGATGAAGACGACGATAAATGGACAACATTCACGTTTCCCGTTGATTTTCAAACAGTGTTAGTCAGCCCAAAGGACAAAACATTCAAGTACATTTTTGGTATGTGTTCAAAATCATTCGTAAGACAATGCGCATTCAATTTAATTCGAATCATTTTACTTTCATCAGTATCCGCTGATCAAAACTTGGACTCATCGATGAAGAGTAGAGAAGAAATTGTCACGCACAATTGCACGGTTGTTTATATGTCACAGTGCTTATCATCAAACAAATGCAAGCAAAACTGTGAAAGCATGGGCGCTACCAGCTATCGGTAAGATATACTTTAACGAGATTTTAATCCTTTAATGTCGTTTTTCGTCAACAATCACATTAATGATTTTAAAATGAAACTTTCTTCGTGTGTTTTCTAGATGGTTTTACGATGGTTGCTGTGAGTGTGTCGGATCAACTTGCATTAACTATGGTATTAAAGAGAGCCGATGTGCACAGTGTCCAGAGTCAAAAGATATTGATTTATTAGACGAGGTGCCATCAGACGATGAGCTTGATTTTGGCGAGAATCGGCTTTAATTTCAATTTTATGCAGATTTTTACGTTAAGATTTCGACCAATTTTATATGTAAATTGTATTGATAGATTGCGCTTATGTCGATGCCAGGATGGAAGGGAAAAGCGCACAGAAATATGAAAAAGACAAACTTTTGTAATTTTTTACAAAACAAAAATTAATAAATATATATATGACGAAATCAAGAAGAAATAAAATATCGTAATTTCACTGACAATTAAATTATAAATTTGCAAACTATTCTTTGAGTCTTGTAATGTGAACCGAAACAAAAAGCTGTAATAAAAAATTAGGTTTATCAGCAGAAAAACACTTAAAGAATCAAAGAAAGAAAAAATCCAATAAAAAGTAAAGCGAACTTTGTAATTAAAGTCTTCATTCTTTTCACTTGATGGACATATTTCGATGCAACTTCAGCAATTTATACAATGAAATAACCAACACATTCCATCGCAATTCAATTAGAAATGAAAACCAAGTAATAATATAATGCGATAACAAATGATACCAAGCTCTTTATAAAACGTTGTCGTTTTTGTATTATTTTTTTTTGAATACTTTGCCAGTCAGACTATTTAAAGTCGTTGCAAATGCTTGGACAGTTATTTTACATCGAAATTCCGAGTAAAACGCAACACATGTAAAATGTAACAAGCTGATATCGCGTCAATTCAAAGCAGTGAAGCATTTTAATTGAGTTTTTTTCCATCGAACAAACTTAAAATGAAAATAGTTGATTTACATAAAGACATTTTCGGATGGCGAAAAAAAATGATTTAATTTGTGTTGTAGAAATCAGTTCAACTATGATAACTTTGGCAAGTGAATAAAAAAATTAAATTTTCCGACATCTGTGAGCAAAGAACAACAAAGAAAAATTGTAAATGAAACAATCGACATAAAAACTAGCTTTTTCATATGAATCATGTATAAAAGCCAGCTTTGATCGAATATATTTTTTTTTCGTGAAAAAGATTTCATTCCTAAAGTAATATATACAAACGCGCCAAATGGTTGCAAAAAAAGAAGAACCGCTGTGAATAAGTGAAATTCCTATAGTTAATTATAGCCGTCGGGAATAGCGCGTTTTTTGTTTGAACTTTGAGACAGATTAAACAGTTAATGCCATTAAATGAATTAAAGTCCAATGATATAAAAAGGATATTTTGTTGGGCCGCACGACCAATTCCATTGCCCGAATATTGGAATGTTGACTCTAAGTGCTGCGATTCTGCTGGTCGTTGAATGTGATTTGATTTAGAAATGTTAAATTACGTGCCATCCTCAATGTTTTCCACATTTGGTGTAGCACATCAACACACTTTAGTTTTATGAATGAAATGCGAATCAAAACAATAGAAGAAAGAAGGTCAAATCGCGACTGCGCATAAAGTTGCTACTGCTGTAAGCGACGATTCCAACACACATCTCCCGTATTTTTCTATCGCATTGTTTGGCTGTAAGATGAAAATAGAATATTTTTTTCCATTGAAAGCATCAGTACATACATGGTCGTTTATCTGAGTGCATCGATTTTGTCGTCGTCGCAATTCTTCGAAATTCATTCGTACAAAAGTTAAAAAAATACCACAAAATCAGTGAATTTCGAGTGTGCAGTGATTTTTTTTCTCTATATTTTGGGTAAGTAAGAATAAATTTCCATTTCATTTATGTCTGTTCCAATTTATTGTTATTTCTGTGATGTCTAAACGTCTAAATGTCGACGAAGCATTTTTAGACGACGATAGATTTAGAAAAATACTTGCGAAAAAAAGAAGAAAAAATCGAAATCATGGTGAGAAAAAGGTTATATATTTGTTCACCTTTCGAAAGCGCTCTTCCATATGGATTAGTCGGGAAACTGTTTGAATCTCGACGAAGAAGAGACTATAAAAAAATTACATTTATGGAAATTTTATGGACATTTCAAGTGCAAGGGTATGGGGGAATGACGTAATTCTCCGACCCTTCATATGTGAATCTGACTTTTATATAAATGCTGCATGCTGGGCATATCTTGCAATTGCGGCCAAACAAACACGCAAAGAAAGAATATGATTCCATCGGATCGGCTAAAATTCCACTCACATATAAATTTTATATCATCTTCCCACTCGTTTTTTTATGTCTTTGTTGTGCGTTATCAATGGACACATAACCAACATACAATGGAGATTATATTTCGAAACATGATGCACTACTTAATAGACAATCACTTAGTTGCTTTCGTTTGCGAATCAATCATTCAAAAATGTTCTATTTCGAACGAATTTTTTCTTCTTCTTCTTTTCATTGAATGCATTACATCAATTTGATTTTATCGTGTTAGAAGCCCATTTATACAGACTACACACACACACTTAATGTGAAGTAGAATGCAACCAATAAAACACCCCACACAAATGGCTCGCTCATAAAATGCATTATCAAAAAGGTTAACAAAAGTGCAATTGCAATATTGTTGATTAATTCATATATGTAAGACGTTATGTATCGCAGTTTTCGTGCCATATCATGGCATTCGAGGCGACAGCTCCATTAAAAATAGAAAATTGATTATGTCTTTCGGCACGAAAGATCAGTACGTATTCAACTGGTGATGTAAGGTTGACATTGATTTATAGCGTCAATTTTATCGTCATTGATTTTTATCGTTTTATTCCATTTTTGACATCATTTTCAAGTGGACTTTGTCAAAATCAAAAAAAAAAACTTTTTAATGCCACTCTAAATGTCCACTCATTTCGTTTCCGAAACGAGGTGACTATTTTTGTTGTGTGAAGTGCATTTGAAGTGCACTTCAATTTTAGATATCAAACGGTTTGTTTTCCTAATTTGATTTTTGGTTAGTTTGGATTGCATTTGACAATTTCACACTAAATCCGATTTCAATAGAAGGTCAAGTGATTCTTTAAATTAATGGTTATCCGATATCAAAATCCAGGCATTGTGCCAATCATGCAAATTTCTGCGTAGTTTTCACACGAAACACATTTAATTTCGAACCTTTTTTTCTCGGTTTTGTTTTTTTTTTTTCAATTTCAAAATATCCACACAACTGAAAATATTTACTCTGAATAAATTGTATTTCATTCCAGTTTCGTTGAAAATCAACAGTTCTTTGCCTCGAACTGAACTTTTTATAGACACATTTTTTCTTCAGAGTGTATGGAAGTTTCCAGAGTGCAAGCACTTGTGCAAGCTCGTAATGAAGTTTTTTTTAATCGGAATATTCCATTATGGTTTTCATTATAATTGGCACAATTGGCGTTGAAATTGCGTTGTTGCTTGCTATTTTCAGAATTGAAAATTTTATTCTCTATTATTTTATTGTTTGTCTACTATCGCTTAAAAAAGAGAAACAAAGAATGATACGTAAAGTAATTGATTCAGTAATTGCCGAGATGAAATAAAAAAAAATGACTGAGAGGAATTGAGAGATGAATATTCCGAGAAATAATTAAAATTCCTATACATTTTCATCTCACTCATAACAGCCACTTTTTGACATCTCCTCATTTGTAGTATAAACTCCTCTTTCTCAATTTTAATCCATTTTCTATTCCTTTTCTTTGCTGCTAATTCGTTTGAAGATAGTTTCAAATAAATGATACAAATTGCAAAGTAATAAGTTTGCATATGGAAAACCATTGATAATAAATGCTTTTGATACTTTTAGTGTATGTTTCATCAACACTTTCGTTGAAAAGAAGAAAATCTTGGGGAAAGAGAATGAAATCTTATTAACCGAATAGTTTTCCACGTTCATGGCATTTTCGTTGCAATGTTGTGAAAAAACTGCTTTGTAGCTGAAAGTTTTGATTGAAGTGAGTCCGTCCATGTAACAGACGTTTCAGATGGTTTTTATTATCCGCAAGTAATCGAATCTCATTTTTCTATTTTGTTTTTACTCGAAGCTTCTTCAACAAACTTTCCTCAGGCAAATCAACTTATGTCATGGGGATTTTCATATGAAATATCGTAAATGTAACTAAAAAGTATCCATTTTTTTTCAAAAACCAATTTTATGTTGTCGATTGGAGTAATAAACTAAATTATGAACCATTTTGTCGGAAATTACTTTTGACTTTGCCGCGCTCTCATGCGAAAATGCAATTTTCTAGTGGAATATTTTTTCTTGCATCGCCGTGTGTACAAAATTATAGGGATGAAAGTAATCTTTTGAACGCGTTCAAACAATGAATATATTGCGCTGCGCTACATGTGACGTGTGTATATTTATTTTGTTATAATGGTTGGTCAATAAATTTCATGCAGCATCTGCAAATTAGATTTTTAATCGCATTTTATTTAACTTAATTTACACTGAAATTATATCATAAATCATTTTAAGGTCTTGGTTCTAATCGGCTGAAAGTGAATATGTTGCAAAAGACAGAATTTCAGTGAAATTAAATCGTATTTGCAATAGTAACCGTTGTTAAGCGAAAATCGTCTAAGTCCTCAATAAGATGCACCTCAATTTTTGGCTACTTGTCTGCTTTACGCTTAACATGATTTACTAATTGCGTGGTCTGATGGATGAATAATGGATTTATTTCGAATGTAGCTCGATGCGATGTATCAGACATTTTGAAACAAGCAGCCGGTAAATACATTCACGCCACGCAGTGTCTTTAATTTAATAGAAAATTGTGTATTTTTTCAAACAATCCATTTCATTTTCGAAATCCTTTATTGCAGCAAAAAATTCTATTACTAGAATATCTAAATTTTTGCACGTTTGCCATACATTGCACTGATATGTCTTCAACCAGCTGGAAATATCTGATTCAGAAAATTTGATTTACTTTCTGTTTGAGATGAAATACTGCTACACTTTCTGTTGGACTGAAACAAGCTTATTTGCTGCTGATTTTATTAGTTTTCAATTTCACTTTCTTCCGATAGATTGGCTTATATAGTTCATTGAAACGACAGAGAATTACCCTTGTCACGGCATTGGCATTACGCCAAATGAAACATATTTGAAATTCAAGTTGAATTCAATCTCCTTGGCCCAAACTAATGTCATATTCATATGAAATCCAGATTTTTCATTATCCTTCGGATTTTCTTCACTTCACTTTCAAGTGCATACTTATTATGGCTTTTGTGTTTTGGAATTATGTTGTAATACACTCAAACATTTGACGGGGAAATATGGTTAATATAAAGATTAAATAAATAGACGAAAATGATCACCTTCCACACTGAATTGAAGTTCAATATAGCTTTCTTGGCTATGAATCAGTTTGCTTTAAATAGAAATAAATTTTAAAATTCGATTACACAATTAATTTCTTTTGTGCACAGATGAGAGAGAGAGAGAGTTTAGTGAGATTTTTATTTCAGACCTTTTCAGGATTTACTGTGGTTCGCGTAAATAAACAGAATGGCAATAACGATGTGCAAGAATGTAATTTGATATCGAGTATATATGCATTCGCTCAGTATAATTTTAGTGCAAGTTTAGTTTCGCTTACTAACAAATACAAGCGCTAAAAGAGCATGCATTGTATTTTAATATTTAATGACAATTACGGTAGTTGTTTTCCGACCCTTCATATTCAGTGAAAGTAGCAACTCACAGTGATTATATTTGGTTTGAACTTCTCAAATCAATCTCAATATATCTACTCCTCCATTTTCTAGAATAATAAGTTTCATTCGGTCATTTTTAAAATTAATTTTCCAATCACAATAAAAAAAAATGTATTTTAAAAAAATTTGTTTCATTAATTGTGAAATGTTCATTTTATTTCAGAATAAACAAGAAAAAATCATCACCATCGTCGTCAACATGTCATTCCGTCCAAAAGAGCGGGTTTTATCAGCACTACGAAAACTTTTCCACAAAACATCAGCAAACAGACGCGAAGCGAACAATGGTGCTGCAAGTAGTAGTAATACATCAAAAAGTCCTGCAAGAAAATCTCGACGGTAAATATTTTCAAGCAAATTTATAACATTTGACTGTTCATTCAGAATTTCTGATATCTTTAAATTTTAGTGGAATTTCACCAAGTCCGAGTCAAAAGTACCCAACTAAAGCCAATGACAAAACAATTCGCGCCAAGCGACTGATGAAAGAGCTTAAAGAGATCCAGCGCGCATCTCGTCTACAGAAAAATTCATTTTCGGTAGAGCTGGTCAATGATAACTTATTCGAGTGGTATGTTCAAGGGGCAATTCACTTAAAAATTGCCGCTCTTTTATTAATTAATTTTTATTGATTGTTTTTCGATTATTTGTCGATTATTTTAAATTAATTATATTCTTTTCTTTTGTGATTCTCCCCTTAGGTATGTTCGAGTGTATGACATTGATCAGGAATCCGAGTTGAAATATGATATGGAAGAGCAAAATATTTCACACATTCTTCTGCATTTAATATTTCCGGATAATTTTCCATTTTTGCCGCCATTTATGCGTGTGGTCGAACCAAAAATTGAGAAAGGCTTTGTGATGAACGGTGGCGCCATTTGTATGGAACTTTTGACACCACGTGGATGGGCTAGCGCTTATACAGTTGAAGCAGTTATTATGCAATTTACCGCTAGTTTATCCAAAGGTCGGGCACGAATTGCACGCACAAAAAAATCAGGCAAAGATTTTAGTAAACAATCAGCAGAAGAGGCGTTCCGATCACTAGTGAAAACACACGAAAAATACGGTTGGGTTACGCCGGCCCAAAGTGAGGGTTAATTTGGTAAGTGAATTTTATTTGAAAAGCTTCATCAGTTAGTTAAATTTAATTAAACGTGATCACATATTAAAACTTCCCAAATGATATGATTTTCATTCATGCAAATATCTTTGCCCTGGTATTTATTCATACAAAATCGCACACTTAATATTAATCCGACGATCAAATCAATCGCAATAAATTCCATTTTAACGAATCAGTTTGCACGCGTATATATGCGGAGTGACAGTTTTCAATATTTATAGAAATTTTGACATTTAGGTTTGATTTGCTTCAATTCATATTTATTGCATACTCGCTTTAATTTGCAGAACCGTCATATAATCAATTAAATTAGCTTATTATGTTATTGTTATTAATTAGAAGCAACTAGTTCAGATAGGCGTTGATAACATGTTCCTCAAAAAATTGAATGTTTTTTTCGACGCAATTAAGTTAGCCCTTATTAATTAGGATTAATATCAAATAAATTGGCTTTGCCAGAAATGACCATCAACATGATGTAATAATATAATATTTGAAAGTATTAAATATTTGAAAATTTAAAAGTAAATCATATTTGTAGCGTGTTTAGTTGAACGTGGTTGATTGATCTAATCTGGTTAGAAGGTGGTGATGCGACTCGATTGTCATGTTTTTTGGTTTTTGTTTCCTTACACTTTGGTATATTAATAATGTTGAATTAATAAAGAAATCAGTCTTAGTCTATACATTGTTTTCTTCTTGTAAAGAAGATAATTGTTTTTAATGCTACATACACTTGATACAATATAAAATTTACAAGCAAAGCTGATCTCAATGTTCCGCAGCGGCTGTTAGTATCTAATTATCTCTTTTAAAAAGAAAGTTCTCTTTAAAAAATTGATTCGAAAATTAAGCTTCTAGCTACTACCTCTCATTTGCACCAATTTTTTTTTAATTGCTGAATTTGAGTTTCTCCCATTTATTTCATGTTCGAAGGGTTCTAATAATTGAATTGAAATAAAACAAGATGATGACTGTTATTTTTTATGCTAAATCCACTTGTAACATTATAAAATTTAAAAGCAAAGCAGATACTTTTTGTTGTTACTTGCTTCTAGAACTTCTTAATTACACCGATGGGCTCCATCTCAATAAGTGTCATTTTGAATTTTTGATTGTCCATTTTTTTATCTTCGCGTCTTTTCTTTTATTGACCTTTTTGGGTATTTATTTTTGAAAATTAATGTATACTATATTTTCTACTATAACTATATAGTTGGTATTGAAATTGATTACAGCATTAGTATGATCAAAATGATGTTGTTTTAATAAGTTAATTCTGTTTTAATTAAAAGTTAAAATTAAATTCTAACATTAAATAAGTATTAATTTCACATTTTAATCTTTTCACATTTTAATCTTTTCACATTTTAATCTTTTGTAAATTTACCGCTTTTCCGTATTCTCTCTTCTATCTTGATAATTTATAAAATTAACTTCATTTATTCTTTTTATTTTTTTATTTCTGTTTCTACTTTTCCATTTTATTGCAATTCGTTTATTTAGTTGTAAATATTAAAAACCGATCTAAGGAATCTTGGATAACTAGTTATTAGTTTCCACGCATTAAAAATAATAGAAAAAAGTTTTGTGTGATACTCGGTAACTGCCTCCTTAATCTGGTGTTTCTATATCTCTATAATACATGCGGTTCGACACATACCGTTAATTTGTATTTTAACGCAAAATGAATTTAAGCGAGTTTTTGAATTCTCAGTTGACAAAGTCTTTAAAATGGCAAATCAAAAGACAGCGACACAGTAGATTTAGCGTGATAGACGCTAATTTATTGTCTCGAATAAATTGAATTCATTTTTTTGCGCATTAACGAAGAAATTTGAATTTTAATAAATCACTTTCAATGGCCTTTTGATGAATTTATTTAGCCCTTCTTGTATCGATACAAGAATAATTCCATCAGTTTAAGTTACTTACGCTTCACTTTATAATGAAAATAAAACACCATCGACTTTTATACGTACAAATTAAGCATAATTGATCTCAAACAATGAATGAAATGATAAACTCAATTTGGAATTAACCTTTTTTTTGAATGGAGATGTGTATGTTGAATGAAATCTTTGGGAATGTTTTATATGTGAGATCGTTTGAAAATATACTTTAAATCGTATTTCAAGAAGCTTTTTAAACAAAAAAACCATACATTAAACTTACGATTTTGGCCTTACATGTTTGAACCATTTAATAAATAATAAATTATGTTTACCTATTTGTGTTTAATCATTGCAATGCTATCATCCAGACATCAATTGAAATCAAAATGAGGATAAATAAGGTTGATCGAAGTATTGCACAAAAATAATACGTTATTTGTTTTGGTTTAAATTAAAATGAAAAGATTGTTACCAGTCAAAGTTCGACGTATGCTCCACCTGGATTCGGCCGCATTTTGTCACAGAGACAATACAAAATTATGCAAGTGACATACTTTGACTACATTGACTTTTAATTATTGTATCTTTAAAAATTAATATATGTTTAAAAAAAAAGTGACAACAAAACAGAATATTTCCAATGTTCAACCCAGCGATAGAGCTAAGTCTGGCATCTACAGGTTAAATTTGGATAATAAAAAGAAACAAAAACAATAAATGTTCAATAAAATTGTATCAATGCGAAGCAGGATTATTGTTTCATTTCATTTTGTTCGTGAACAACATTTGGTTGAATTCCAGTAATGAGTGCAGTACTACATGGATGCCGGTGAGTATTTTACTTCTTTTTCTCTACCGATATCCACTTTATGCAAATTACTTCAGTTAGAATATTAAGTGAAAATGTTTTTCCATAAAAACTTGTAGCTACCTTTTAATCCACACAATTTGCCAAAAATTAAAAATGTCATGATTTGGCATACAATTTGCATTTTTTAAGACGCAACAATATTTTCCTAAAAATCTTTGATTTGAGCTATAAAACTAGATATTTTTTTGGCAAAAAAGAGCATTTTTTATTTTTTCAGTTGAAAAATTTGTATTTTATTTTGTGTTAATATACAATTCACTTCTATGGTATTTGCCTCGGCAACAATTATTTCGAGGTTGTTCCTTAAGTCGGGATGGGGCCTTGTCCAGGTTTTCTTCCAGTTCCCCTCGGTTTCTTAGTAGTTTTTGGGCTGCTCCCTCCTACACCGGCTCCCGCCATATTGTCAGGTGATCCAGCTACAACCAAAATCAGAGCAACAAGCAAAAGTATGAAAAAAGTTAATTTCATCTTCGGATATTTTATTAACTGAATGTTTCGAAACAACTCGACGGTATGATTTGCTTCTGTCATATCCAAAACTTCTTATACTAAAACTCAAGGTAATTTGGCTCTTTTTGATAAACTCTTTATTTACTGTTCTTTATCACGCTGCCATAATTTATCTTCAATATTGTCGGGAACTCCCCGCATAACTGGTTGGATAAGCTATTTTTATTGTATTGATATTACTAATAATCTAAAAATCATCGTCGAAAAATAGATCAAATTTTTATATACGTGCATATTCTCACACCGACTTGGATCATTTATGTTACGCAATTCATTGTGTATTATCACATTAGACGTATTTTTATATTTGAGTTGGGATTTTTTTTCAAAAGTCCAAGCTGTGATCTGACTTCAAATATGGAATATTCTTACATTTCTAGTACGAATAAATGTGATTTATGTTCACACTTAACCCATGAATGGTAAGTAAAAATACGATACTTTCAGGTAATATCGAAAATGGCATATTTATTAAGTTGAATCTTCTCAGTAAACAATTTTCAAACGACTAAACTTATTCTAAAAACCAGTTTGCCTGGACGAATGCAACTCATTCACAAAGTCATGATTATCATTTGCAATATAAATAGGCGCATCACGTAATTTAATACTATCATTTTAAAAACAAACTACAAAAACAGTATACGTGGTGATGTCAATTCGCAGCGTACTCAAAAAATAGAAATGTTCAACAATCCGTTTGTTTGTATTTCATCTTAAATGGAAACCATTCATAGCAAGCCAAATCTGATTGAAAATAAAAGAGCAATTCGTTTCTGGCATTTTTCCTTAGTTGAGGTATTGATGGAAATAGACTTGTGCAATCAAAGGGCATGTATTGATTTGTTTTTATCATTTCCTTACATTTAGTGCATTGCATAGTGATTGAGTTGTAATTGCGACGCATGAAATAACACATGTATCAATCATTTTAAATATAAATCCATTATCTTTGACCTCGCAAGGTCTCTTTTATTTTTAATATAATTCTTGTTGATTTTCGCTTCCTCTTATATTTTTGCAAAATATTGTTCAATTTTTCTCTCTTCATTTTACTGTTTCAGGTAACAGATTCTAAACTTAATATCCGTCGACTAGCATTTTGATTGACAAGATTCGAAATATTATAAAATAATCATTTTATATTTGAATTTTGGATAAAGTAATCTCATTAGTAATAGTAAAAACTATTAAAACAAATGTCTCATAGCAAACGGTGATTTTCCACGAGTTTGCAAGTAGTATAAGCCCAATGGACGACTGATAAGATTCACAAGATCGCCACCCATCAATGCGTTTTCACCGTGCTCCGAGCATTTTTCATCGTATATTTCGCCATATGATAAACATTTTGTTGCCAAAAATCGAGATGTGCGCTTCAAACTCTCGATAAACAGATCATGTACGCGGGTGTGTGAGCAGACCTCACCAACAACTGCAGAAGATAAACAATATGTTTAATAATACGTACTCGAGCAAATAGTCTATCTTAAAACAGGTTTCAAATGAATTTTTGAAAGAAGAGTCTGTATTTTTTTATTTGAAAGATATAATTAGATTGTGGAAAAAAAAAATGAAGATTACATGGAATAATACTCGCACATTCTGGTTGTACACATCCAAAATTTGGATAGAAATCTAAATAAAAAAAAATCGATTATGAAATAATTTCAATTCAAAACAAAAATTTCAATTTAAAAAATTCAAATATACCAGCATGACCAATGGGATGTTTAACACCCAAAAAACCTCCACTCGTGTGAATGACTTGAACGTAATTTGCGTCTGTAACGTAATTTATACAAAATTAATATTTTAAATAAGCAACCTTTTTTGATCATATAGGTAATTCATTTGACTCATATCTCTCTCTCTCTTTCTTTTCTTTCTTTAACTCACCGCTATAATGTAACCGGCAACTCTCATCTTTCAAATGAAACAGTGGCAACGCTGGATCTAGTGCAATTATCGTTGCCAATTTTCCTGACTTAATGTTTTTGCCTACAATTCCGCACGTATGTGCGCCCAAGCTATGACCGACACTATAACGATTTATTAAATCAACTATATTTATGTATCAACTCACACAGTAAATGCATTAATAAATACAAACCATGTGAGTTCATCTAAGTTCAATCCGAGCGTAACCAAATAATCAATGAATCGAGCGACAGCTTGTCCGACCTCGCGAATTCGATGTCTGGCTTTTACATAATTAATCGTTTTTGCACCACGTAACCAATTAATTGCAATGAAATTAAAATCGTCTCGTTCCAAAAAAGCGTGCGCGTATTTCTGCAATGTATCCTGATCACTGAAATAACCGTGAATAAAAAGTCGGGTCGGCCTATTGGGATGCCAATTCCATCTGCAATTTTGCACACCGATCAACGTTCGATTATCATTTTCACCATTCAAAATAAAATTGTCGTTATTCAAAATATTTGAATCGATTTCTTGCAACGTTGTGGCAGTTGAATGATTCGAAAATCGACAATACATCTCGTAAAATACGTCACGTTTCGCATCAAATTTACCAGCTGCGACTAAAGCAGAGATAACGATCAACAGCACGAGCGTTTTAAATTTGTTCGACAACATGGTATGTGAATTGTACAGAGTACGAAGCGCACAGTCAAACTGCAACCTGTTGTGCCGGTATATGCATCTTATATAGTTAGGACATTCTGACTGTGACGTCGTTGAACTGATGTGATTTGATGAGCTGACACAATATACATTTATTGACCGGTTTTAATTTATGAAATTGATCTGATACTTGATAGCACAGCATCTGCTGCGCGACAACATTGACATAAAAACGATTAGTTGATAAAGGAGTAACTCACTCTTATTGACATTTCATGCTAATGCATGTTATAGGGGAATTTTTGATTGAGGTTGTAAATACCAACTATCCAAAAAATCCCATAATTAAAAAAGCCCATACTAAAAATCTCACAACATCTCATCTCATCAAAATCTCGCATTATTTTTACTACATTTTACTTCGTAAGGTGGAGTAATAGGTTGTGCAAGGTTATGCGATAGTCAAGCCATTGAAAATACGTGCTATTATTGTTGTTGCTAAATACGCTTGAATTGTAACAAAAATAAATAGAAATTGTTGGCATTTTCTGCACTTGGTTTGTCGAAGATGACATAGTATTTCTAATGATAGTATTGGTGACCGGTCGTATTTTCAAATCTAATGGAGAATTTATGCCCGAAATATCGTAGAAAATAATATTTAAAATTTGGTCATATTTTCCCCCAGAAATTTTTTTTATTTTCGGGAAATTGTGTCCAAAAACAAAAAGAGACTATTTCCAGTTCGATTTGGACGTAATTTCCTGGGGAAAATATTACCAAACTGATGAAGAATTTACATCCAAAAAATTGAAGAAATTGTGGCCAAAATTCGAAAAAAATCCCAATTAAAAATGAAGAAGCTAAAGAGATAATTTAAAAATGTACTTAAATGTGCCGCATTTTTTTAAAACTGTACCATACTAGTTCGGATAATATTTGAAGGTCAAATTTTGGGAAATTTAAATTCGCTTTGCTATTTTCAGTTTTTGCCCTACACGTCCACATTTTTTTTTTTTTTTTATTTTTTTTTTTCAAATGAAACTTTCCACTAACCAGATGAAGTTTAAACAGATCTTTAGAATTTTTTTGCCGTACTATTGTGATATTTTTTGCCTGGTTACACAATTTCATTTATAGAAAACAAACAATATATCCATGGAGAATTCTAAAATGTTCCACGAAGAATTAGGTGGTTGACGTCAATTGAAAGCGTACAGCCGTACACGCGTATTTCATAACAATTCGTATTTGTTTGTTTGGAATGTTAAACATTATTGAATGTCTAAGGAATTTTTCTAGCTTAGATCACCCATGTGTCTCAAATGAATTTAGCCGACTATAAAAATCGCAGGATCTGAGCCATCTAATCACACTGAAGCAAGCTCTTAGCCACTATGTGTCGTTTAATCCAAACAGTTTTCGTAGTTACGGTTCTCGTTGCCGGTGTAAGTATTTTTTTTTGTATAAAATTTTCACATTTCACATTTCGCCCTCTTTGTAGCTCGATATTACCTTTATTGTCAAAATTTTAATTTAATTTTTTTTATTTTTTTTATTTCTTTCTAAAAACCAGTACCATTGCAACGTTCCAAATGTAGGAGAAATGTTGGGAAAACCTCAAGAGTATGCAATGAGCCCAGCGCAATGGCAATCCATTGAATCTACGTTTGAATTGTACAAAAAATCAATAACCTCTATGCAAATTTCCCTTAAAAAGTTAAAAAAAAATAAAACAGTAAAAGAAATTTTAAGTTTGATTAACGCTAATTTGGGCTACTTTCAAAATTGGATAAGAGGCCTCAAGCAACTTGACGACAGTACTGTTTCTTATGTTGCCGGTATATCTAACGCATGGACCCAATTGTTAAGAGAAGATGCAGAACATATACAATTGTTTGATGCATCCAAATTGACAGCTTTGGAAAATAGCATTCGCGGTGATGAGAAATTGGCAATTGATCAATTGCAATTAGTTAATCATGTAGGGAGCTTATTGCTTGAGGGGATGGGCAATCGTAAAGAAGAAGTTGATAATTTTGATACACATTTACAATTCGGAGACGGCTACATGTCATCACTGGATGCAATTTTGAATAATATTGATTTAACATTTACATTGAACTATCAAAGAAATGTAGAAATGCAAAATCATTTTAAAGATTTAAAAGCGGCAAAAGAAGAAATGAAAAAAATATTGGATGAACTATACAAAGCACTTGTAGTCAAAAACAAAAATGATTAAAAAATGATAAAATTTGTTCGAAATACGTTTATTAAGTTTGCCTGACCTTGTAATATTCTTTCTTATTCAATAGTTCACTTAGAACTAAAGTTTTGTTTAACAATATGAAAAAATAAAACAAATACCAAATTTCCTATAAAATACATATTTTCTTACAAAATTTTCTCAAATACATTCACTAATTATACAAAATACCTTATATATGATAAGAATAATGACACTTTTAACAATTTTACTGAATTCAATGTGACAGCATTGACTAACAATATTATGTATTATGATTATTTTTCTTTCAGTTTGTAAGGTATATACATCTCATTATTAAGGTTTTTCAAGAAAAAAAAATATTTTTCCCCAAAATTACCTCAGGTATCATCCATTTCGTGGTACAAAATTCCAGTGTTAGACATAAAAAAACATTGACAAAACTCTAAAAAAAACTCGCTTTCTACAGAAAGTTAGTACATAAATTTGTTTTCAAAAATTCCAATAGAATATTCTATCCAAGCAAAATACTACAAATAGTTTGGCGAAAAGTGCACCAATAACGTAGTTTTCGGCTTGGTAGTGTTAAGAAAAATTACCCATTCGATTCCATTTTGTCTTTGTACAAAGGCAATGCATAGCAACGCGCATCTGAAATTCAAAAATTTACTTCAAATTAAAACTTTATATGAAAATGAAAAAGATACAATATAACTTTTAAGAAGTCAACAAATATTTATATTGAAAATATAATAAATTGTTATTCTGTTCATTCAAATGGTTCTCTTTTTAAAAGCTGTTTTATAACAGAATGATTAATTAATAAAAAACTTGAATTACATCTACAACAAAAAACAGTATAGAGCGATAACAAAATATGAACTGACCCCGTTTGATTAAAAAAAATTAAGGAACTTTTCATTAACTCTCTCTCTCTATATGAGACACCTTGTATAACAATTTGAATGTATATCCAAATAAATTTTTTAATTTAAATTATAAGTCTTCGATAGACATAACAATAAACAAACGTCTGTTTGCTTATTTTTTGCGAATATTTATTTTAGATCCACACTTAACAATTTTATTTTTTTTAATGAAAAATTTCTTTTCAGTGTGACTGAAAAAAACTTCTACATACATCATTTCCTAATAACTTGATCATGTAACTTATTTTTCAAAAAAAAAAATTTTTAAATATGGAATAATAGTAGTACACTTTGAAGATTAATCGTACACAATCTGATTTGAATCGATTTAAAAATTAACTTCAAATTCTTTCAAATTCAAAAAAGGAAAATATTATAAAAATCTTACTTTTTTGATCAGGCATTTCAAGCCGGTACACGTTTCTATCCCAGCATAGCTGAGTTGCAAATTGTGTTTCCTCCACCAAACACGTCTGGTTGCATCCAATTTCGCACTTCAAATGTGATAGTACTTCGAAATTACTTCGGTCATCATGATCATCATTTTGATAATGAGCTATCAAAACACATATATGAAAACGTACACCTAAGTACTTCCTCTGCCGCTTCGGTACTAGTATATAATTTTAAAAATGATCAAACAACCGAAATCAAGATAAATACACTAGAAAAAGTAGATGTGCAATTTCAGTGAAACTCATTTTTGAAGTATTTTGCATTGGATTTCGATTATTAATATTATTTGTTTTTCTTTATTGAATAATATGGTATAGGTGCTACAATAAATATGTATATATGTACGATTGAATTGGTTCTCATTCAAGTCGGTCATTTTTTTCTTTGCTGTTTCGAGCACACACTATAAACAGGCCATCATCTGGAATAGCTGTGGTATATGTTGGATTCGCAATGCATATTCTTTCATTTCATTCCATTCCGTGCCATTGTATATAAGGTATTTTCACTGTGTTTAAATCAAAAATGATGAGCGACAATTTTGTTTATTTAAATATAGTATGTAACGCATGTGCTAATGCTTCCATTTTTGTAAAACTTCGTTAATACGCTAAAATTCAATTTGCATTGTGTATATTATTATACTAAAATGATGCGTTTGAGGTCTAAATACAATTAAACAGAACTCTAAGTTGAATTTTCAGTCGAATCGCTTCCTAATGTGTCAACAGCAACAACAACAACAACATCTGCATCTGTGACATTACGGTCATTGCTTGGCATACATTTAGCGCGTAAATCAATCGTTTTGCGGTCGTTGTGCTCGTTGGCCAATTCAATATCGTCAGTCGATGAGACAAGATTTTGTACAATACAAAAACTGTCCGTTTTTTTCGATGAATCACATTCCATTGTTTCATCCGTTTTATTGTCGATTAAATTTAACGAATTCGATTCGCAGGCAACTGCCGCTGCGGTTGCAATTGTATCTGTATTTGTTTGTGGCTTAAAATCAATGCTGCTGCAATCAGTTTCGGTGCTATCGGTACTAACACGAGCCAAAAATAATTTCTTTATTTTTTCGCATGCTTCGTCGCGTTTTTGTGTAACGGATTTATCATCGGCGTCTTGTGTCGTTGGTTTATTTTGGCTATCACTATCAAAATCGAGATCACTCAGATCACTGTTCAAATCTGAATTGGCCGCTTTTGTACATAAATTCGGTATATCCATTGGGATTTCCATGGCGCTTGTTGATGAATTTGGCGACGGTGCAGCCGATAATGACGATGAATGACTCGATGATGAATTTGTATTTGCTGTGCATAATTTTGATATATAAAACTTTGGCGTTGTTCGACCCTCCGTCGAATCGGGGCTGGGACATAACAATGGCGAGCGGCATGGTGAATGGCCACGTGAACTACTGTTTATGGACAAAATGAATAGATTAATGTCAATTGATTTGATTTGGTTTTCGATAAATGAATGGAAATTCATTGATGGCGATATAATCTCTTTTTCATCATTTGTAAATCGGTACCTTTCAGTGAAGATCTTTTTAAATGGAGGTGGCGAATAGCTGTTTGAATAATTATCGTCGAGTTCGAATTTTCGTTTGACCGGACCCAATGAACTTGGCCGCATCGCAATTGGTGACATTGAACGTCTGGTTTGAAAAGTTCGCCGTGTTGGCGATGGAGACAATCCATATGGTGGGAGTCGCAAACCAGCTCGACTACTGCAAAAAAAAATTGATAAAAAATGTAATCATTTTTTTTTTCAAGCTTTTGATGTGAATTCAAAAATAGATAAAGATACGTAAAGACGTAGATTTTTTGCTTAACTCATGACTTTCAATTTAAATAAAATTACACCAAAAAAATGTGCAAAACAACCGAATGGTGTGTCGTCGAAAAGAAAAATGCAAACCTTGTTGGTGAAGGACTAGAACAGCTAATAATGCCTGTAGGTAGAGTCACGTGCAGTGGATTTGTAAGATCCGAGCTTGTATCACTTTTAAACGACCAGTGCTCTGCATCCAAAGTTAAATCTAAAATTAATTTTTTCAAGTTTAAAAAAAAAAATCTCAAAAATTTCTAAATGGAATTGATTTTCACTAACCTTCCCAACTTTGACTGATTTGCAAAGCAGTATGAATTTCACGTTCATGGTTCACTTCACGGCTAGTAACATCGGCGCATTCTTCTTGTCTCAATTGTGAAACGCGTGGTGTTAATCGAGGCAAAGGTCCTGGATTTGTGGCCAATGGGCTAAATCCGGTTGAATATCGGCGTGCTCTGGGTGCAAATATATTAAAAGTTGGTGTTGGTGACGCATCTCTGCCGTAAACCAGAAGAAAAATAGAGGTTAGCTTCATAAAATACTGTCCACTTGGTCTGTATTAAAGTTGCCTTACCTTGATCGAGATGTGGTCGAAGTAATATTTGGGCTATTCGTTGTCGGGCTATTCATTGTATTTGTGGTGCCAGTCGATGACACAGTGACTTTATTAGTCGGAGGTAGTATGTGATTTATGATTGGTGTACTGTTGCAACGTTTCAAAGTGTTGGTTGGATCAAAATCCATGCTATTGTGTTCAGCTGCGGAATAAAAAATAAAATTGTTATTGTTAGCACTTGCATCATCACAATATCAAGTCACACTTACTCATATCATTCATTTTTGCATTCAGCACGGCACAATCACAATGAAATGTCGTTGCAATTCTCAGCGATATTCATCAGTGTAATAATTCTTTTTTATTATGAAGGGTACTCAATAAAATGTTCAAAACGGATTTCGACTCTTTGTTTTACTCTTAATCACAAATTGCACATTTGCTTTAAAAATTCAAAGCAAACACAATTTTCTGCGATGCACAGAAATGAACTTTTCCACTTTGTTTCGACAGCAACTTCAATCCTTCAATCAAAACAATTTATTCGCGTTTATTTTCAAATGATCGAAAAATTGACGGAATAAAATCATAACAAAATGATTGATGAAGTTTTTTTTTCTCTCAATAAAATTCCTTTTTAGGGCGATGATTATTTTGCTGTAGACACACAGCAATAAAAAAAGATGTACTCGAAAAATTACTCTTTTTTTCTCACTTCTTGTGCACTGTGTGCATTAAGCAATAGAAGACGATATTATAAAAAAAGGTACAGATGAACAAACTTCAAATGTATTTTGGGCTAACTGTCAAATGTATGGTGGCGACGGTTCGTTTCGTGTGTGTATATATTCTATATATGAATCGCATTTTCACTGTATGAGTGGTGCGTGGTATAACATTTTTACGATATAGAATTAATGCTTTTGGGCGTTCAACTGATTCTGACATCAATTTTGAAAAATACAAAACTGTTTTCCTTTCGCTCATTCGTCTAATCATAATAAAATTGATTGAATGTAAAATTTTTGAGCAAATTTTCACCTTTTCACATTGCAAACTTGATACGCGATATTTATAGTTAATTTTTTTAAACAGAAATCGTCAGGAAACTGTTTTTGAAAATCAAACTATTGACATGATCAAACGATTTGATGATTTTGTGATCAAGTGGAATATGTAAATGAAAAATCAAGTGAAAGTCAATCCAATGAAGTTAATTCCTTGAAAACTTGAAAATTATTTCTTTTTTCCATACGGAATCAATCATATTAAACTTTGAATTCTGAAAAATATTCTAAAGAAGAATTGCATTCAAATTCAAAGTTGGTGTTTTCAATCGAAAATTTTTCGGTCACGATACCAATTTGAATGTTGTCAATTTTTCTTTCAAAAAATCCGAAAATCGAGTATCACACGCATTGATATGAAATCAAATAATCTCAATAGAAATGAAATTTTTCGCAATTTGTTCGGCAGTCCAACTTCAGAACGATATGTGACTTGTGAAGAATGTGCGCGTGCATCAACGACGTTCATAAAATGGTAAACATCGTTGGTCTGTTTGTGTCACGATGTAAATAAAATACACACACAAACATCCGTAGTATAGACATAGACACAAACGTTTTTGTTTAGCTGTCACATACATTGGGCTGTCAAAATGCAAACGAACACATCACATACATACATACACACACTGCATATTCCGTAGTACAGAGCCGGTGTGCCAGTGGTGCCACACAATTGAAACCAAAATTCCCGTAGTATCCCAATATAAACTTCAACACTTCAATACTACGTGAATGTACACACAAACATATAGCATAGAGACACCGATTTGACTTTCAAAACTTCGAAATAAATAACATTAACAAAAAAATGGCTGCCCGCGTGTAATTCACCTTTTTTGTTATAAATGTCCAACAAGTATATTCACGATTGATATTTTATTTATTCGTGATTTGCTTATCAAATAGTTCTAGTTATATTTTTTAAATATTTTGTTTCCATTCTATATGATTAAATTGAAAATTGTTGCAAGTGTTGTGTTGACAGTGGTCACAGAAAGGCGACCAGAAGTGAAAAAGAAAATTGTATGTGTGGGTCTCACCGAACATTGAATGAATTAAAACGGAACGAAAACAACAACAGTTTTTTGTCATCTATTGTCTATTAAAATCTATGAAGAAAATTGAATTTAAGCATATTTTGTGTGTGTAAATAAAAAGTAGCAGTGAATTAAACATGCTTCCCGACAGCGATGAAGTCAATTTATCGCCAACTGAACTACAAATCTTATCGGAACTTGACAGGTCAGTTGTATACATTCAAAATATTGTTCACCATTCACTTGTTACTGAATTTAAACGGAAAATAATTTCTTTTGATCATTTGTGCAGTCGTCAATTTGGATTTCTTCGGCTAAATGGTATAGAACATCGGAAAAAGAAAGCGGTCGTTGTCAAGGTAATTCCGTCTTCTCTCAATGAAATCAAACTTTCTCTTTAAAAATCTGAAATGTTTTTTTTTTCTCTCGCAGGCCATCAAGTATTTGGAGCGCATGCTGATTCAAGCTTACTGCCAACAGGAGCGTGAAAAACGATGCACAATCACAGCAAAAAATGATGCCGAAACAAATGCAAGTGCTAACGATGAAGCTGAATCCAATGCCGAGAAAATGGATACAAATGAATCGACAACGGAGACTGCGACAGCGACAGCAACGGAAACAACAACCGCAGACGGCACAAAAACACCAAAAACCGAACCGGATGCATCACCAAAATCAAATGACGTAGAAATGGTTGACGCTTCAGTACCAATGCCAACCATTAAACAAGAACCAAATGATGAAGATAGTACGATTGAAACGGACCCGTTGGCTGAAACACCAACAACTGACGACGATACAAATAAAACGGATGAGAAAAATGACACACCGCCGGAAATTCAAACGGTAAAAACCGAAGCCGAAGCCAATGAAAATGGGAATGTTGACAACAGTGAAACAAACAAAGAGACACAAAGTGGAGATTCAGCAGCAACAACAACACCAACACCAACACCAACACCAACGGATGAACCAATCAAAATTGAAGAATCCACAACCGATAAGGACGATCCATACTCAAAAGACATAAACATTGATCCGCGAACTTACTGTAAACTTGGCCATTTTCATTTGCTACTTGAAGATTACGCAAAAGGTAAAACGCACTCAAATGAAGCAAAAGATTATGACGCGATTGACTGCATGACCTTGCGTGCAAATCAAATTTCATTCCATCTTTACATTTTCAGCAATGTCCGCATATCAAAAATTCTTCGGATTAGAAAAAGAGCATTGGCGTGATACGGCATTTCTATACGGACTTGGCATGGTGTATTATCATTATAATGCATATCGATGGTAAGTAAATTCAAGTGTTTGTTTTTTTCAAGTGCATTTTTATTTCATTCAATTCGTCGAAAATGGAATTTAGGTCAATTTATTCGTGGAATTTGTTATGGGAACAATCACGAGTCGATCAACAAATCGGAAATTTATTAATTAAAAGAAAGGAATATGGTTCCAGGGTGGGATGAATTCGTTCCAGCAATTATAGTGTTTCAATGAATAATTTGTGTGGGCATGATAGAAGAAGAATCCAAGTGCACTTGATAGGGATAATGGTTCCAAGGTTGTAAACAATAATCTTGAATGAAATATGAATTGAATGCCGGTGCACGCGTTTGCACAAAATCCGATTGAGTAAATGAGAAAACGTCTGAGATATATGTGCCAAAAAGAAATTGTGTTCATAGAAGGATATAAGGGAAATTGCTCTCTTATTGTTCTCAATAGAAAGTATATTTACATGATATTCCCCTATTTTACTCACATATTACATTTCCCCTTCGCACCAAAAATCGCATAACAGTGCTACGTGCACTCAAAAGCACACACTAAGACATGCCCGCGTTCGACATCAAGAACTATTTTCAATTCGTATAAATCAATGTACGTGTGTGTGTGTATGAGAATTATAATCTCTAGTGCTGTTGACGGTATTGTGAGCTAGCGTAAAGCATAGCCGCACCGTACGTAACACACATATGCGATGCGAACAAGACACACAAAAAAAAACGACGATGAATGTTCAGTTGGCGTTGAGCGATCGGCCATTACGTACTGTTTTCAGTTTTTGGGTTGTGTTTTCGTGTTCCGTTCCGTTTTTTGAAAGTTTTTTGTACACCCAAATGAATTGAAGAAGGTAAAAAAAGACAGAACAAAAAATTCTCAATCCACACAGTGAGTGTCTATCTATTGGTTGGAAAACGGGTCGATAGGATTGAGTATATATTGTACACCCATGAATTTGTAAAATAGTTTCAAATGTGGAAAAGTGTTATTTAAAAAAAAATGTATACATTGGCGCGTCTCGCATCAAAATACTCACTAATCAACGAAAATAATAACAAACAAACGGATTTTTTTTCTATTTTTCGAGTTTAACGAATTCACAACATTATCGCAACAACGTAAGGACGTTAACAGAGAATAAAAGACTGTTTTATGTGTATATACATGAAATAAAAGTCACTGCCTCTCCACTGTTGTTCTAGACAAACGAAACATTTTTTTTTGTTTTATATTACCAAATTTAACAGACACATTTTTTTATCATCGATGTCGTGTGTACGTTAATGAAGTCTCGTTTTTGCCGATTTTTTATCATTATCATTCAATTCCAATTTTATCAATTCTCATAACAATTAAAACTGTGTCAACATCGGCTAGACATACTTTTTGCTTCGATGTCACAAAGTGAATGAACAAAACCAGACACACACACACACCAGTGCTAGTGATTGTGGCGAATATTTTATTCAAATGGATTCAAATATTTCCAAGTGTGAATTAAAAGCAAAACATCAACATAAACCTCTCTCATTAAAGTGTGTACATCCACTATAGACTATAAATAATTCACAGTCTCTTCTTCGCATGATTTGACTCGATGAAATTTTTCCCAACTGCAAATATACACAAACACACTAGAAAGCTGCATATCGTCGTGTGCAATGCAAAAAAAAAAGTTGAAACAACACTCAATAAAAGTAATTAAAATGAAAATCTCATGCAAACAGAGAAATCTACAAACAGTATAGCTGAAGTTAATAACAACAAAACGCCGTAAAAACAGACACATATAAACAAAAATTAAAAGCAGAAAAAAACCCAACAAAGTGCAGCAAAACTAAAATTGTAAATATAAGCGCGAACAGTTAAAAGTGTATTTTGTGAATCATTTATGAATTCGGTTGAAATTCATTTCCTCGTTGTTTTTTTAATAAGCATACTTGATTAGTTGGATGTGTTTCTTTTGCTGTGAATTATATTACTCATCGGCACATCAAAAAATTCCCCATTGTGTGTTCATTTTTTCGTCTTCTTGAGCTCTATACAAAAAAACGAGTGCGATTATTCAACAAGACATAGACAATCCAAGAATTGCAAAGAAGTAATAAATTTATAAATCTGTGTTCATTGTTAAACAAAACTAACAAACTAGCCGCAAACGAAACATAACATTGTGTTCATCAAATCAAGAGATTGTTTCTCTACAAAGTGCATTTTTTTTACTTAAAAGTTACAAGAGAGCAACATTAACGAACTTTGTGAAAGAAAGCGATAGAGAGAGAGAGAGAGAGAGAGAGAAAATCAGCCGTTAAAAAACGTTGAATAAAAGAAGGTAATGAACGAAATTCTTAAAAGGGTTTCAATTCAAATAGTTATTTTGCCCCAGTCTCGATATACCATTGTTTGATCATAATTCTTTTTTATCATTGAATTCGTAACTTATGCGAGAACGCGCGTAATGCGAACACATACACACACGGCCGACATACGGTCGAGTGACAATCAAAACCATACATCACATGAATGGAGATGCTTAAAATACATATGTGTGCATATATAAATAGAAAAATTGTAATCGAGACTAAAAAGTAAATAAAACATCCAGTCATTTGCACAAATATGAATGAATGACGAACAGAAACGAGAAAAAGAGAGGGACAGTTTATTAATTTGAAAATTAGAATTGATTGTTATACAAATATCATCAAATAAATACATATATCAATAATAAAAATGTCGAACGACTCTCCACCTCTCCCGATTGTTATTGGAGATGAACAAAAAAAAAACCGAAGAAACAGTAAAACAAACAACGAACGAGAGAAAAAAAAATGAGCAATTGTTATATGCGGAAATCAAATGTTTCATTCAATTTGAGTTGAACATTTGGTGTAAGTGAAAAGAGATGAGTGTGAGTGTGCGTGTGAGAGGTTAACGGGTGCCAAAAAAATCATACTTTTTTTCGCTTCGAAAATATATGGGCTAGATTAGCTATGGTACGATTTATCGGTCTTTTTCGGTGGTACCCTCTTCCGCTGTTTTTCGGTTTCTGCTCTTTCTCTGTTCACAATTCGATTGTGCACACACCACCACAGACGCACACCGAGCTGCTTGTTCTCATGCTGTAAGCAACAAAAACGTTTGATATTGGATGGAACGACGAACCTCTTTATTTCGGTGACTGCAAGGCAAGCAAAAGAGACATAGAAGCGAACATACAAACGATGTGTGTACGTGACGTGATGAGATTGTGTTGGTAATAAAGCTATTGCTGTTGATACAACTCCTATAAGCGCAATCGTCAACAATGTATGCGTGTATTCTATGTGTAATCTAATGGCATAAGATCTATATACATGAATTTTCATTTAATGCCAATGTACAATGTAAGCGAGGAAGTGTCTCAAACTCAAGTCATTCATTTCTGTTCATTTCTCTTCTTTGCCATTTCTTCCTGAAGAGAGAAGCAGCAAAAAATAGCGATAACAGTTTCCAACCGTTTCTATTTCCGTGTAGTGAAATTTCAACACTCAACACGGGTGAATAAAAAAAGTAACCATTCTAAGATATTCTTGATAGCGTTTGTTTTACGCTGCTACGTGACACTAATACATCTGTATTGCGTTGATGATTTATGTTCAAATATACTTAGCGGATTCTTGTTTCATTTTGCACGGCTCGATTCACAACACCAGCATCGTTTCATCAGGCAAATCGAGTATTTGCAGCAACAACAAAAAAAAAAACAATTTTTATTAGATTTTCTGTTCACACCAAGTGAAATCACCATTTTTTTTCTAGTGAGAATGACTTACGGTACTTCGGGTGCCAGTGCACACAATTTTACTATCTCACTATAAAATAGCATTCGCTCAAATGGCCCATGTAGTTTATAATGCATGCAAGGCATGTAGCCAATTTTTATCGAGTCTCTGCTATTGTAGCGACGACGATGACGGCGACGAGCTCGCGAAACGACAGATGGGCAAATGCGTCTCGATGTACGTTGCTAATATCATCGTCATTTATAACTGGATTGGACATTTTCAACAACAAGCAGCAGCTAAAGAACTTTATTGTGCGCGCACTCACTCACAATGTGTGTGTATGTGATTCCAATCAAAAATTGAATAGGCGGTAGCCAGACTTTTAGCAATAGCAAAATAAAACTATTTTTATTTTCACCACTGCACATGATTCTGAGAATGAGACAGAGAGTGAGAAAGGAAGTTTTTTTTCTGTCAATTTGTGTTTCATGCGATAAATAATTTGTTCACTCAGATAATTTTGCGGGTTGAAAACCGCAAATTACAGTTTTTCCATTTTGTTATACATAAAAAGGAAGATTGTTATTTCGTACGTATCGTGATATTCGGTTAATTCTCTCACAATTGAAAAACAGTTAATTGCGAGCAGCAGCTACTGCATGGGTTTCATGCAATCGGGCAGGTACAATGTCGGGACCACGACGACGACGGCGACGATGATAACGAATCGACAGATAAACAGCCGAATGAAAAAGAAGAGGAAGAAAAAATGTGTTGCCTGTGCGGTAGACTCATTTTCGAGCCTACCTTGTCTCATCAAACCGCACAACCAAAACAACAAAAACAAAAGAGCGAACGAAAAAACTAGACATGCAACAATCAAGAATAACAAAACACAAACATTTTTACTCGAACTCGGTCTAAACACGAACACCTTACCTTAGTACGACCGTGAACGAAGAAGCGTAAGCAAAAAGAAAGTCTCAAAAGATGGGTTGAAGTTGCGATTCGAATTTTGTACACACACACACAATGCAAAATAGAATATTGCATGTGCAACACTTGTTTTCTTTTTTATTCACTCAAGCAAAAAATGAAATACAAATGCGAAAAATACAGGTTTTGGCCATGGAACCGTTCACCTCATCCCTTTGCAGTTCATTCAATTATATATTTTTTTTATTTCGTTTTTTCGCACAAAACCTCAAGGAAACTGCACCTAAAAATAGGGAAAATTTG